AATGCCGAAGAGGCTAATGCCGAAGAGGCCCCCACAAATTTGTGGTATCAAGTGGGCAACTACACAGACTATTGAGTTATTTTCAAAAGTTCGAACTTTTCGAAAACAGCTCTTTAGTCATATTTTATATTCTATTGCATTATTTATTTGCTCGTCATTAATTTGTAATTTTAATTGGAGATGATGGATCATTCCATCTCCTTGGCACATCAAATCTGTGTGCCATATCGTCCAAWAGGTGCATAAGTATTTAGTTTGTTACAGTCAAAAATATTTAAATTTTCGTATTATTAAATTTTCAAGCTTAAATAACGTTCGATAAATATTACAGTAATTTCTCTTTTTTTGTTTTGTCTTTAAAATTTTTCACTGTAATCGTATGTTATTAAATTTGCAATTTTTCTCTTTTCCATAAGTAGTTCATAATAATTAATAGTTATTATTTTTTGTAGTAACTTAATATATTTATTATATTTTATGGAAACGTAAAATCACGCGTTTAAATTCAATTTTATTACAACAATTAATAGAGATTTGATAAAAGTAAATAGAGAATTCAATTGAAAAGTGCATCTGCGACTCGGACGATTTATATGTCAGGCTATTTTATCATTTTATTGTATGATTAATATAGTTTTCTTTTTGTTGCAGGTGATCATCGCTGGATTTATTATCTACTCGTTTTGATTTTCTTCTACTTTTTAAAATATATATGTATAAAAATCGCATTTCTGAAGGCACACACATGTCTATACATTAAATATTAAATTTAACTATTTAAAATGTTGTTATACACTTATTAAGAATAGTGTATTCTTTGATAGTATTGTAATGTTATCGCGTTAAGTTTTTTATCTACTATCGCTTAATGATGGTTCCACTGGTAACAAAAATGATGCTGGGTAGTTAAAAAAGGGAACTTGTAAGTTTCTATATATTTCACCACAAAAAAGTTGGCATAGAACTGCAACAGCAGAAAGAAATGAAAAAATGAAATTATTTACCTATTGTTTATACATTATGAACGATTAACTTATTTCTTTTCACTACCTTATAGGTTGTTACTATGGATATCAACTTTAAATATATCCCCTGCAGGTAACCAACTTTACTTTCATTTTTTTCAAAGTTTGATTGCGTCTTGAATTTGTGGTTGCTCATGTGTATAACATGTATATCACACAATTATGCAATTGTAATATTTATTTTCAACTAATTAACGTTAATTAAAAAATATTTGATATAATAAAGTTGAGCAATTAGTGAGCAAATAATAGCACTTATTCATTTTTTATTGCTGTTGCAAACTTTGTTGCTTTGCCTAGAAATAGGAGAAAAATTGTTTGTGTTTTCAATTATTAATACCTAATTAAATAATTAAATAATAAAGCGAGCAGTTAAAGATTTTTATTGAGTAGATAGTGTGCAATTTAAAACACTTATTTGGTTTTTTTCTGCTGTTAAGGTTCCTTGCTAAGGTTCCTACGGTATGTACTTGGATTTAACAAAGTATTGTCATTGGTCGGTAAAATCGGTCTGACCGCGTTGCTATAAACATTTCTTAATATTTTGGCGATAAAATAAAATCGTTTTTTATGCTACAATTTATATGCTACAAATTATGCTACATTAAAATGATATTAATGTTTATAGTAAAATTGAAAACCCAACTGAATTAATTATTTTTTTCCCTTAATGTTCACACGCCGAAATAGCTCAGTTGGGAGAGCGTTAGACTGAAGATCTAAATGTCCCCGGTTCAATCCCGGGTTTCGGCAAGTACGAATTTTTTTTTTTCGTGTCTACGTACCTAAAATATTTGTCATGTTTTTTAGAATTTATATTCTTATTAATTTTATTTTATATATCCAATTCGTTAAATGAATCGAGGTAATTTATTTCTTTCTCGCGTTATCAATGCTATTTAATATCTGTATAAGTGTCATGCATTTGTCATGCTAGGAAGTTGAAATTTACGAGCAGCAAATAATGCGATTTTAGGGCATTTGACATTAATTGTATTCTGAAAGAAGGATTTATTCTTCGATATTCCAAACAATGTTCCTATAGAAAAGCAGAATAATATATAAAATATTATACTTTCGTACACAAGAGAGTTAATCATTGTAAAGTAGCCTCCGAAATCAATGAGAAACGTCAATCAATTTGTTAAGGATCAAGTTGGTTTTTTTAAACGGGGTGGTTTACACCGCGCCCTTTCGATTGGTTTATCAATGCGCAAGCGTGTAGTTCGTTTCACTTCCCTCAGCTCGTCGAGCTGTTTCGGTTGTTCGGTCCACTTGACAGTCGACAGTCGGAATTACGTTAAGGGTGAACTCGTGCTTTCTCTCATTGAGAGACAACGCAAGGATGCGACGATTGGTCCGATCCTGAGAATTCCATCCGTAGAATTTCGTTTCTCTTATATTTTCTCTTTCCGAGTAGGGATTTTCGAGTGAACAACGATCGCGATCCAGGAAAAACCAGTGATAAAACATTAAAAGAAAGAGAACACATCGCGTGAAACACATTCGTTAAAAATACTTCAAGAGTTATCGTTCCAATTTTCGTATCCTTGTTTATTCTCTTGAAAAAAAAGAAAGGACTTGTTGGTTGTTTGTTATTGTAAAATGAATGCAACGTGATTCGCAACTCCTGTGCATATTATCGTATCCCGAATCCGTTATTTTTGTGTCAACGCGTTATTGTTTTCATTCGAAAGAGAAGGAACGAAGAAAAATGACTGCCGCGTCGCACGTTTTCGTCCTGGTCCTTTATCTACTTTGTCAAGCTGAACGTTCGCATGCAAGTAAGTTTAAAGATTATTCATTAAATATCAGCTCGGTGCATCTACATTATTATATTTATCCCTTCGATAAACGATCTAACTTTGTCCTGATTCGGAGATATATCTAAGGGTTGACAAATTACTAAATAGGACACACACATATATATATATATATATTATGCGAAAATACAGAGGACAATTTTACGTGCTTTTCTATTATTATTCATTTTATTTTTCTACGAATGTGTTCTCGAGTGTACTGCAGGGAAACGGGGTATTTCATGGACGCTGAGTACGAGACGCGATATTAAATGTTGGAAGGAAGTATTCGAGCGCGAAGCAAAAAGTGACAGAGAGAGAAAGAGAGAGAAAGAGAGAACGAAAGGAAAAAATATTCCTCGCCCTCGCATTTTCCTGAAATGCAACCAACTTCTTTCAAAAATTCACTTATCCTGTTTCTCTCTCTTTTTTATCAACAAATACGAATAGATTGACCTTAAATTCGATGGATGATTCTAAGTAATTCGTTCTATCGATATATAACGAGCGTAACTATCGACGATTAAATCGAACAACGCGTTCAATTCGAGTAGAATCGTAAATCTGTAAACGCAATGAATTTGAAGGATCAGGCCAGGTTCCAGGAACCATCCAAGCGTTTTCCCCATTTGAGCTTTATTCGTTCCTGGAAGGATCGAAAGGAACGTTTCAAGTGTCGAAACTTGGTGCTCAGGGGTTGAGGGGGTGGGAAAGAGACGAGGGGATGTGCTTAATGCTCGGTTTAATTACGAAATTGGGTCGTGCTTTGCTCTACGCCGGTACAGCCCGCTAATTCTTGCGGATAGATTCAATTAAAGTACCCATTCAAAGACTCAAACCTCCCCTTCGAATCGGTCATCATTTATTTTCTATCCGAGAAGAAGGTTTTTCCTTTTTTTTTTTTTTTTCGGATACCCACGGCAAATTTTTGGTTACGATTAAACTTGGACAAAAGAATGGGTGAAAAAAATAATAGCTGTGTGATTAAAAGGAATAATAGTTAAACGTTTACCTTAGTGACGTTTACATCCGCTTTTCTCATTCCCCCATTTCAATCGACAACGACGCGATGACTTTCGCATTGGAATCGAGTTTGTAACGACTTGCTCAAATCGAATCGCGGTACGTACATACCTTCAGGTAGACGTTTGTTGCTCGTTACGAAAGGGAAAGTTCACGAGGATTATTTAAGCCGAGGGAAATCGACGTGAAGCTAATTATATTCTAACTTTTCTTAAACTTTACTCTTTTCCGAATAATTGCTTTTCATTGGCTACGAATATTTATCCCATTATAATAGTTATATCTTTTTTATTTTTCGTTAAAAAAAACACACACACATGCAGGTATTTTTTTTGTTGAATATCAGGTTACATTTTGTTGAATATCATATAAAGCCACGGTGACAACCAAGACGATAGAAATCTAGGAGAAGATCTTCCACGCAGACGGACGCTTAGCCAAGGGGATTTACGGATTAGTATCACCCCCTCTCCCTCCCCTCTTCCCCCCCCCCATCGCATTTTCTATCTCGTACGATACGAAAGAAAGAATGGAAAATGAAAATTCTCCTTTCAAAGTTTTCCAATTAAATGTCATCTCGTCTATAATACATCGGAATAAAATCGAACGACCGAATTCATACAAATTTTAATTAATACACATTTGAAATTAACGAGGAACGCGACTTTAAGCAAGTAAAAAGGATCAAATTATAAATTATAAATTATTATAACAAAAAATGATTATATATATTATTATAATATTTTTCGTAATATTAAAAAAATTGGAAAATGAATTGGTTTGAAGGAAAAAAAAATGACAATTTGACATACGTTTTACCTTTCCGAGAAGAATAATAATGGGACATGGGGTTGAGGGGCGGGGGAATCTTCGTTCAAGCGAAGCGAGAAACCTAATAGGTGTGTATGTATGTGTTACACACATTTGTATATAGGTAGATAAGTAAATAGGTATATATATGTGTAGAAACGTTGTTACGCACGGAAAATTGGATAGCATGGCGTAGGACAAAACAAATGAAGGCCGCGGTCGAGCCACGTGATTGGCTATCTAGGCGTGCACCATGCAAGATACGAACCAATCGGGAAAGTGGTTTTCGACGAGGGGTTGTTGCATAGGTTCCTGGTTCGATTCGTCCTTTGGTATAAACGCATCATAAGAAGGACCGATGCAATATCAACGTTATCGTTGATAAAGCAGAGAAGAATTTGCGTTTACTCTTTGACAAAATTATCTAGGAAACTTTAGAAAATGTTAGGAAACAATGGAGACACGTTTTAAATGTCGACGGTAAACAATCACGTTAATGTATATACATGTATAGACAAACATACGTGTGCCAGTTTAAAACGATCTCACCTGGGTTTATATTGGCACACGCGAACTAAACTTTAATTACACGAATTTAAATAAAAATTACTTGACAAAGTACTAAAGTTAATATTCATTTCGATATCTATCTCTCTCTCTTTAATATTTAATTGCCAATGTTGTATCGCGTTACATATATCTAACGAATTACTTCAGTTATGTATACTTTTCTTCTACTATTTTTTTCTACGCAACAAGATGTGATATAATTATTCGAATCATCCATCATTTAGCTCACGATATCTACATACGTACATTCGTCATTGTTAATTCAATCTCAGTCGATAAATGGATAGTCCTGATACTCTTCTCTTATGTGTTCCCATAATTATAAAAGTCATATATCTCTTGTTTCGAGATATTTAAAGGATTACATTTGAACACTAAAAATTAATTCTATATATAATATTGAAATAACGAACACTATCTAATGGTTCATTTTTGACAATATTCGTTAAATAAAAAGTACCTAACGTAAAAAATGGAAAAGCACTTTTCGAGTTATTATAAAAGAAATTTGAAAGAGAGAGAGAGAGAGAGAAAATAAACGTTTAAATTTGTTAATTATCGTCCTTTCGACTTGTCCCAGTACTTGAAGTTTTTCTTTTTCTTTTTTTCGCAAGGAATTCCTCGTGTTACATGCAATTTCTAATTTCCTTTTGTCTGTCTTTGTCGGTTCGTGACGGAAGCATTTTTAATTAGGCTTCTGTATGCCCCAGGTGCTACACACCGTCTTCTGTATTTAATATATACATGTATATATATTTACACTTGGATGTAGAAACGATTCTAAAATGAAACCATCGTTTACGTATCCTATATTTCAGATAATATAAAGATCTTTGTTAAACTACCACTTCATATATGTTCCCATAATTATGAAAGTGATCTAATTGTAAATCATATATCTATTGTTTCGAGATATTTAAAGGATTACATTTGAACACTAAATGAATTCTATATAACATTGAAATAACCAACACTATCTAATGATTCATTTTTGACAATATCGTGTGAAAATTACATTGAATTTAATTTAGTTTAAAATAATGTGATGTGTGAAATAACTGATAAATTGATAATTGATTTAAATTTTCACTTAAACCACTTTCATACTTATGGGTTACAAATATTTATCTATCCCATCACAAATCAAAATCGTAGAATTTAGAATTGCAAGCAAGCAGGTAGTCAAGCAGGTAGTCAAGCAAGCAGGTAGACAGGTACTCGAGTGATTTCAAAACCCTTGGCATTGATTGGTCGATCGCAATTGTCAATACGGTTAGCGTCGATATCATTTCTACATACGCGTAAGGAATAATAAATGAGGAAACATATAACGAAGTCATGGATAATAAACGTCTACCGGTGTTGCTCGTCAATGATAGATATCAGAAATCGTGTGTCCTGATTGAACACTGTTGTATACTACTATACAGATGAGCAACACCGTTGGACGACTATATACTTGGCCATGAGCTTGACAGATCTGCTAGCTGATCGATATTTACTAGCAACGGCCATTGTTGCGAATTTCTCTCTCTCTCTTTCCATCTAACGCTAGTTTTCATTGTCAAACAGCATTGTTCTCTTTCATTGTCGGTGATATCTTGACGTCGATTCCTTCGTATTATTCAAAATTGTTTCCATCCTATGCATTCATCCGAAAGACACCGATATTTCCGATCCTCGTAAGTATATTTCTCTTCCTCTCTACTCTTCCACTTTCTTTTTTTTTTTTTTCTAACCATTCATCGAACGAATCTTTTTCTAAAAATTCGAAAAATTTAATAGAAAAATCATGTCTACTCCTCGCAATATCTTTCACAGTTGAATTTGGAAAGTTATTCAAAGTTTGCGAAGTCTAAAAAGGGGTTAATGAATTTTCCTTCTTGAAAGGTGTATATATTTACGAGAAAGATTTTTTTTTTATAGAACGAAGGAGAGACGTTTAAAAGTCGAGTAGAGAGAGAGAGATTTATCGAAAAGTTTATGTTAATATTGTTTGACGCGTTGAGTTAAGGATTTATGACCTACGCTAATATTTAAATGATGCAATTTAAAACAGAGATCTTTAGATAAATGGATAATTAGAGTTAAATCATGTCGAAAATTATGAGAATTTCGTAGTATTTAAGAGAGGGGTTGGGGGTGAAAAATAAAGGAGATGCCGTTCTCTCTTGAATGACTAATTCTAAAAGAGAAATTAGCTCGTCTTTTTCCTCTTCGACGCATTGAAATTCGAATGAAACGCTTCGTTTGCGAATGCTATCCTATAATATCTTTTATTACTTTTTTTTCTCATACAGGTAATATTGAATACTTGAGACGCGTTATTAATGAAAAAAAAAAAAAAAAGAAGCAAAAAAATCTATCCAAGGATTTGTACGAATATTATCGTTCCGATAAACGGTCCAGTTACTTCAGCCGATATTTCGATATTTTCGTTTCACGAAAAACACGCCATCGGATATTCCCTTTCTCTGTGATATCGTTTTACGAGCATCCCGGTTGTACAAATAAAAGCATTTATTCTTTGCTCGATTGCGAAATGCTGTAGGATCTTTTTTCGCTCGAGTCTAAAGCACAAATGTAAACGTTTAGGCGAGTAAGCGTTGTAAATATACACGTTGGCTGCTTTTTTACTTCCCTTTTTTTTTTAAAGCTAAACCACCCGAAGGAAGCATCTGTCTAAATTCTTTTCTTACGTCTCGAATAATAAACCAGGCACGTGTCTAGGGTTTGTTTTATATATCGTGTATATGCATATATTTGCTCCCAATCTGTGCCCAATCTGCGTCTAATCTACATTTATCTAATATTTCTATCTATGGTTGTTACAGTATCTAGCAGAAGTAACAGCCAGGTTCTTCTTGGAGAAGTTGACATCGCAATTAAAGATGATCACTTAGGTGTCACTGAAATCACCACAGAGGAGCCTTATTTGACAAAATGTATCGTCGACGGAAACGCCTATTCGCACAGTCAAACGGTACGAACATATTATTAATTTATTATCAAAATTTCACGCACCGGGAGAAAGAGAGAAAAATAAATGAAATTTTCATTCGCTAATAATTTATAATATAAGTAGATAAACATCTTATGTTAGAAAAGAAAACATAAGTATAGATAAAATATAGATTATGATAATTTATTATTTTTATCTATAAATATATATCTTATTTTTTTGGGTTATCATTTATAAGAGAATTTTATTGCGATTCTGGTATTTTAATATATTTTATTAATATCAATAAAAAGAGAGATTGTTAAAAAAAGAACCGACGTAACATTTTAATCTTCAGTCTAGTAGAAATCGTACAGAAATTTTCAACAAGTCAGGATGGCCGAGCGGTCTAAGGCGCCAGACTCAAGGTTCATACCTTACCCGTTATACGGGGATTGTTCGAGGCTTCTGGTCCTCTCTGAGGGCGTGGGTTCGAATCCCACTCCTGACAAATTTTTTTCCCCTTTTTTTTCATCATTATTTTTATTTCCTATCGGAGATAGCAGGGTCAAGTCGCAGTAATTATTTAAGATACTTTATTTAAACAATACACAAGAATATTCACAGAGCGCTGAGACAGAAACTAATGATACTTTGGACAGTAAGATTGTATAATGCTATTTTTTATATTATTGATTGTGAAAGAACAAAAAGTAATACTTTATACTGAATTATGTGAAGTAAAATGAAAAAAAAATATGTTGCAATACGTTGTGCACGGGTCAGCGGTTCATTATGAAGTGATCGGTTCGATACCGATACTTAATCTAAAATACTTTTATTGTTTCTTTCTTCGGCCCGTTTAATCTGCTCATCGCTTGTGTATATGTGTTTTTTATATCGAATATAATTTGTTTAATTTAATTTATTTTTTAACGCGCGAAACTCTAATGAAACTTCTTTATCGCTGATATATAATATATACATTTATTATGCATTACCGATGAAAAAAAATCGGTTGAATATTTAATTATTTATTTATAGCGCGAGTTTGGAGAGATAAAAATAAAAACAAAAAAGAAATAGTGATATTTTTGTTCGTACACGTATACAGTAATAAATTGTGTAAATGGCGAAATTGCAAACTAGTAATATAGGGTGTAAGAGAAGTGTACAAATAGAAATTTCGTTTCTTGTTGATTTTGACTTTGCTTTTATGGCGATCGAGACGAATATAAGCGTCTTGAGAGTAATATCGGAGGACTCGGGTAAAATCCATGTGTGCATCTCGGATCGTGTAGTATTCCTCCTACTCAAACATGCATACGTACGTACGTATAAGTAAATAGCTGAAATTGCGGTGCAATTCCCGTAGTCGGTACTAATTGATATAGGATGTACTTATACCAACATCGGGAAATACTGACGTAAATCATTGCTAATGAATTTAATCAAAAATATAATAAATGAATTTGCAACCGTTAGATAACAAATCTATTAAATGAAGACAATAAATTTGAATCTTTAGTGATAAACAATATGAAATCTTTCGTTTCTTCATATGAAGAAAATTCATGAAGATTTATTTGTAAATGCTGGTCCTTCCTTCTTCCTCTCTGCTTCCCCGTAATCTGCTTCTGCAAACAATGCCATTTTAATGCAAACACGGAACACGATATGCGCCGACGAAACGAGGTCACGCGAGAATGTAATATCTCGGTTTTACGTGTGTACATAAAGCGGCAAAAAACAATAATCTTTCGGTTAATAACGTAACGCCAGGCCAGCCAGTAAGCAAGCAAGCAAGCATTGCTGCACTCACCAAAGTGCTTTATGCACCGCTTATATTTTATTCATCAAACCCTTTTTTTTATTCTTACAAAATTCTTCCTTGGATTCGCGTCAGTTGTATCTCTCTACGCGATCATTCTTCAACAAGTAACATAAAATAAACTTGAAAAGTTCGAACACGCCTTCGGCCTAAACTCGAAGAAAGAGAGAATTCCCTTCCAAGGTTTCGAGCGAGTGCTTGTTTCTCGGCTTTCTTTTTTTTTTGTTCTTTCTTCCAAGATGGAAAAGATATTCTTTTGACCAAGCTTTTCAGTACTCGGTAATACTAAAATGTGGACAAAACATGTTCGTCTGTATCTCGAATGCAACGGATACACCTACTTGTGAAAAGTACGGAAAAACATATTTCATTTTGTATTATTTTCCTCGTTCTTCTTAGCTTTCCCAAGGCCTACTTTCTTTTTATTTCCATTTTTTTGTTTTTCTCGAAAAGATATAGCAGTTATGTATCGATAGCCAAACGTGTTTCTTTCTTTCACTAAACTTTATCTACGCGTTTTTCTTTTCTCTCGAAAACGACGACGACCATCTTTGACAAGAGTACTCGTCATTTTTTCTTTCTACCGTTCTTCCTTCTACTCGCATTTCCAATCATTTAAGATGATATATCGAAAATACGAAAGATATAGTCGGTAAACTCGTCGTCTCGTGCACCCCAAGTCCAATTAGTAACGCAGTGAAACTAATTTGCCCTCGCGAAAGCTTTGAAAAGAGGTCGAAAGCTAAAGCAATGCTGTATCCTGCTGCGAAATATTACCCTCCACGGTCCTCTTGCCCCTTCTTTCTTTAAGAGTATCACACCGATGTTATTTAATGCCAAGCTTTACGTACCAAATTTGCGCGAATATCATCGACGAACAGAACAGAACAGAAATCTCTTTGATACATCGGGTGCAACATAGTTAGCAAATTAGAATTATCGGATTATTAAAGGAAAAATTTCTATTTGTTGTTGGGATGATGCATCACTGAACGTAACGTTTAAACCAGTAAACGAATTTACTCGAAATTTTGAAAGGTTGCTTATACACAACATACTATTGTGCGGTCAGCGCATTTACAAATTACATTTCGCGAATAGAATTTGAAATTTTGGCAACGTCATGCTTATCCTTTCTAATCAAGATCGTTAAATCAAATAATAAACGTTATTGATAGACATTGATTAAACTAACAATTGCGTTTCGTATAAACGGAATAATTAGATTAGTCGAACATTTTCGAAGCGTAATCAAATATACGTAATCATAGCTCTAATTAAAATGTTCGAAAATGTTGCATACGTTGCTAAACGGTAATTTGTTGTTTTCAGATACCGTCGCAAGACGTAAATTCTCATTGCCTGTGCGTCGCCGGTGAGGTTTATTGCTGGTGGCAAAATTATAATCCGAGTACCGATTCTTCGATGGGAGGTGGTGGTGGTGGTGGTTCTGCTTCGTCATTATCAACGACGACGACAGGAAGTAATTACACTCCCATGTTGGAATTGAGCACGGACACTGCCGATAGTTCTGAAGCTTCCGGTGATCGGGTTGATATAAATTCGACCTACTCGACTACGACACCGTCTGGTCCAACGACGTGCCTCGTCATGGGTACTTTCAATATTTTCTTTCAAACTTTGTAGTCCAAGTGGCAGTAGTCAGCAGGCTGCATGTAATTTACCAAATTCCAAATTTCGTTCAATTAATATCTCATACCTATCATACATTAGAGAAAATGTCTGTCGTATAAAATGTGGGCTCCTAATACTATAATAAATAACTTGTCATTTTCAAAAATGTCTGCCATTATTATTTTTGTTAATAATGATAATATTAAATAATAAAATATCCAAATGGCAGCTTTGGTAAAATGCTTTCGAAGTTGCTACCTGTTTTACCTGAGTGACGTCATATGGATCACCACCGAGCTTAATTAGTCTCCCTCTAATGTATAGTAGGATTGATTAAACGAAATTTGGACCTTGGTAAATTACATGCAGTCTTTTGGCCACTGATTCTTGGAATATATTATCCTTTTACCTCTTGAGACGTTCAGTTGGAAGGTGCATTAGCATTGAAAACTGTTGAAAAGCCACTAAAGGTTCTCTCTTGTTCTCTCTGATTGTAGGTAGGGAGTATCGGGAGGGTGAGGTACTGCCACATTCGACCGGAAACTGCGTAGAATGCAGCTGTGGTTCGGAAGGTCGAGTCGAATGTTCTCCTCGAGATTGCGTACCTTTAAGGCCCGAGATACCGGTTGCACCGGATATACCTGAACCACCCGGTGCTGATTTCGAAGTTTTTGATTTGGCACGAGACCGAGGCATCGATGAGGGATTTTAATAAGCTTTCTTTCACTTCATAATTTCTTTTTTCTTTCTTTCTATTATTTCGTCGCGTTTGATGCAACGATATTCCTCCGTTTCGAACAATGAACAACGATATTATTATCTTATTTGATTGCATTTCCCTAATAGATCATATAGATAACTATGAGTTTAGGGTCAAGTCAGAATTCGGCCGCACCTTCTCTCAATCGCGAGAACGTGCCTTCTTTTTATTTCTTTCCATTTGTTGTTTCTGTTTTTTTTTTTATTCATCTCAAAAAGAATATTCTTTACGTAGTGCTTATTTCTATATCACCTATTATTTATCATTATTATTATTTTTATAGTCGATCATGCCTAATGTTTACTTTTGGAAGAAAGTGTTTGACAAAAAGATTTTTAAAAAAAAGATACCGAAAATAGTACGAACAGAGGAACGTGTTTCCATTATTTTGCATGGAAGGAGCTTTTCTCCTTTCCAAATACACGAGACTTTCGGTATGGTTTAGTCATTTTTTCGAGGGATGTTTCCTGATTAAAATAGGAAAAATTTCTTCTGTAGGGAACGGCCTATGAATGTAATAAGAAAAAAAAAAAAAAAGAAAAAGAAACAATGTAGGAAATTCGGCCTACATGATATTAATCAAGAATAAATTTCATGCAGTAGTCAAATAGATTATACGCCACTACTACGTGCATACAAGTTGACATAATTCTCATCCTTATGGATTGTGCATTTATCTTTGTCTACTATTCGAATTGTCATACCTTAGACATTTTCTAGTTCTAGACATATCGTGACTATATCTTCCTATTAGTTGGTTCAAAACAAATCATATCCTATTCATATCTTATTCATATTCTAGTCATATTCTAGTTATATTCATAGATCACGCGATCATTTTTACTGTATCGTATTTCCCTTGCCCGGGATGAGTGTAAAAATTTATCGAATAATTCAATTAAGATACACACACACACATACACACAGGCTATATTATATATATATGTATTATTAAGTCCAACGAAAACAGTATTATATATTTTTATATATCTAGTTTTTATTTTTTAAGTTAAATTTTTCATCCGATATGTTTCTTCGTTAAATGCTATAGTAATCTTCTATCTTATTTAGATGTAAATACTCTACATATGTTTTTCTAGTCGGTATCTCTTCGGTATTATTATCATTGATCCGCGTAATCATTTTGGTCTTATAATCTTCAAGTTGTCCACTTATTTCGAAATCTTTGTGATAACGTTTATCATAAAATGCAATAATCTGTGCTTAGTAAATAAGTTATGTTATTTTTCTTGCTTTGCAAGTCAACTACGATTCGAAGAATATTTTAGGGACACCCTGTATATATATATAAAACCGTATATAGACATACATACATAATAGGAACGCATACCACTATACAAGGAACCAAATATTAAGATAACGACCTATACATTATATATATATTATATATACCTATACAAAAATATATGTATATATAAATATTTACGAATAAATAGGAATAGAGAGAATTTTAGTTGGATAGAATTTGGATGTCATATACTTTTTACAAATGCGTTTCTAGGGCATTTCTTTTGACTATTCCAAAGGCAGTTTCGATTGACCACGTTAAGGATTACTATATTCAAAAAGTCCCTATTCTGTAAAGATTATTTATTTAGAAGCAGCAATGAAAATCGTTTGTTCAAACCTTCAACAGTTAAAAGGCACAAGAAATGTTCTCCAGCACGCGTATACGCGCGTGCTTTCGTATCTAAAATACAATTAAATAGAGTTTAATCGTATGACAAAGTTAGCAGACTATGTGTTAGAGAAGTTAATTACGAAAGAAAGTGACAGAAAAGGGGCTATAATTAGGTAATATATTTAGGAACGACGGGAGAGAACATTACCTATAGTTAGTCGTATTATTAGGTAGACTCCAATGTGATATATACACGCAAAAGATAACTTTGTCTAAAAGTTTACAATACTTTTGAAAGGCTTGACTTTTCATCAGGGTCGTTAGTATGAACTTAGTAACGTGGCGTAATGTTAAATAAAACCAACGAAAAGAATTTCTTTTCGCGTGAAATTTCGGCCACGTTGTATTTCCTATTAAAACGATAAATATTATCCTTTGAGATCTTGTATTCGGTTATCTAACATAAGAGCTTCCAAATATCTCGTGGAGAATTATCCGATTTCGATAATAACGACGCTAAAAATAAAACATTTTCCTTTTAATCGTACAGAATGAACGAATTAACGTAAGCGCATAATATATCCCATGCATGCAACGAATTAAATTGTCACATTACGATATTTGATTAATTTTTTTGTTGTTAGATGAATTTAACTCCACGTTGTTACTTGTCACACCCATTGCGTTTTCAATCTTTATTATCTTGCGAAAAATCGGCTAGGATGCCACAAATATTAGACAATCCATAATATTTCTTACCCCTCGGTGACTCGATGAGAGGACGAGGATTGCAAAAACAGAAGAGAAAAGGAAAGATACATGTAGTTGATAGATTTGTAAAATAAATTTAGTTGCGAATCGCGGTGACGTGCCACGGGACCATCACGAAGGAACGAAGGGAACGAAGAAACGAAGGATATTCAAGCGGATTGATTTTTCGTTAGTTTTTTATATTTAAGTAACGATCTCGTACGTCTTCCAACTATCCCACACACAGTTATGTCTATCTTAACGTTCGTGGGATCTCCTGTCTTCTCAAAAACGATTGTTATTCGAATAAAGGAGGATCTTACGATTAATATTTAACTTTTATTATTATTATTCAACTTGTAATATACCAATCCTCTTTTACTATCCTCGTTATTTCTTTTTTTAATGCATTTTTATATGCATTTCCATTCTCCTCGTGTTATTTCAATTGATTTTGCCGCCAATAAATCGATACGCGAGATAATCGATACGCGAGATAATCGATTTACAAAATGGCGTCAGTCGCGATATCGAAATTGTTTTACAAAAAGTCGCGGTAAATTTATTTTTACGATGCATAAGTTAAAGAATTTTTCTATATATTCTTTTATATGAACATTTAAAAATAATAAAAAGATATGGTAAAATATTAAGAAATTTCTTTGAAGAATTGACTGTGACTTATATCGCGTGGAAACAAAAAATGACAATAATTATACAGTAATTATACATCCTAGATAACGTGCTATCAGTATTTTCGTGTGATTCAATATAACGTAATGCAGTTCAAGTGCATTTCCTTTCACGTGTACGTTTAAATGGAAATTTCCAGCAGTAGATGACAACATAACCTCTTTGTCAGTGTTTATGTTACAGAATAATATTGAAATAAAAATCACTTGAATTCCATTTATGATAATGCAACAAACGATTTGCAGCTGTTTGATAAGGACTTGATTCGATGAAACTGCACGTGCGATAAGCAAATGTTTCGCTTGTCTCATGAGTTATCTGTATTAGATATTCCTCATCAAGTTTATAAAACATTATTTCCTGTATTCCAAGTACAACGGAAAGGCTTTGTCATAACTAGTATAACATATACGGTGTAAGTCCATGCTACCTTCAGAAGAATGCAAACCGTAGAGATGAACAGTAGCAAGGAGGAATCCTGTCCATTTCGCAACCTTAAAGAATTGTATGATGGGCTAGAAAATTTGGTAATGTGGCCTAAGGTGACACCGATGAAAGAGATCACAGAATATGTTTATCATGGACTGGAGGTACATTCCAAAAGCTTGAGATTAAATAAACTTAAAGTGGATAATGTGCCAAAAACTTTGCTTTGTCACGACATGAAAAATGGTTACCTCCAAGATAGGTAAGATTTTGCTAATGTACTCATAGTTATTCTATAATAATTCTGTATTTTACTTAGGTTCATAAATGGCTCCAATTCAAACGAAGAGTATTTATTTTATCATTGGAGCGTTATAGATACATTTGTTTACTTCAGCCACAATTTTGTAACTATACCACCTTACGGATGGATCAATGCCGCTCATAGTCATGGAGTAAAAGTATTGGGTACAATGATAACGGAGTACACCAACGGAGAAGAAATTTGGAACTTGATCTTGCGCTCTAAAGAAACTGTCAAACGTTTTGCTAATGCGCTTGTTCAAATAGCTAAATTTTATAAATTTGAAGGTTGGCTATTGAACATTGAAAATAAGATTAAACTAGAAGACATCGATAATCTTGTATATTTTGTCAAATATTTAACCGATACCATTCACAAAGAAATTATTCATTCTGAAATAATATGGTATGACAGCGTAACGCATACAGGAGAACTAAAATGGCAGGATGAACTTAACATAAAAAATAAGTAATGTTATTTTTCTTATGATATTTCATGCAAAATTATGACATTTAGAATGAAATAATCGATATTAATTAATACTTTATTGCAGAGACTTCTTTTTAAGTTGCGATGGAATTTTTTTAAATTACAATTGGACCGATCAGAAATTAATAAACAGTTGTACGCTTGCAAAAGATCTCGGCCGTGACATAAAAGACGTTTACGTGGGTCTGGACGTTTGGGGCAGAGGCTGTCCCGGGGGTGGCGGTTTCAATTCTGCCCATGTAAATGATTAACATTATTTTCGATGTAAATAAAAAAAAAGGATGGAAGATGAAGAATGAAAAAATAATATTTTCATACTTTTAGGCACTCGAAAGGATACGCAAACAAAATCTGTCGGTTGCCATTTTTGCTCCAGGCTGGACGCACGAATATTTCGGAGCGAAAACCTTCGATCAATTGGAGGATATGTTTTGGGCTCAACTTTTTCCTTTCTTATACGTTCACATTCCAATCTATGACAACGAAAAGTTTAGTACATCTTTTTGTCGGGGCAGCGGCTCGGCCTACTATCGTCGTGGTATTGTAAATAAAAAGGCCAACTTTATTTTTGCTTATTTTGTTTTGTTGCAAAATACTTTATTTCATATATTTATTACTGTCTAATTATAGACGCAGCTCGAGGAATCCAACAAGAAACCATTCTATAACTTGTCCATGCAAAAAGTGCAAATTTCCGTACCCGTGCCGTTTCTAAAAATTATGGCTTTCACGGAAGAGGTCCAGTCCGTTGAAAAGGACGAAAACTCTACGAAGAAAGAAATTCTTTACGTGTACGAAACGGAGAAAAGTTTCGTTCGGATTTTAGGCAATAACGTCAATTTTCAGCCAAAATCAGCAATCACAAACGCGAATCATTTCAAGTTTTGCAACGAATACTCGTACGAGGGTGGAGGTTGTCTTAAACTGATAACTACAAATCCTCTCAACTATCACAGGTAAATAAAAGTTAACAATAGGATAGTTTAAATTACAAATGAAATGAAATACAATTTACAGATTGTTCCTAGTATACATCGAGTTTGATCGAGATATACAAGGCTCCATTGTCTACAAGGCAGAAGAAACGAGCTCGGAACAAAAATCTACAGTCGAGGAGCCTGTCCTGATATTAGGCAATGATTCGGGCTTGAAATCCATCGCGTCTTACGAGAGCTTCGAGTTAGACGCAGGTTGGAGAAAGTGGTAAATAAGCTCGAGGATAAAAAAACAATAGTAACGCTATTCGATATTTTCTTTTATCCTTTCGTACTTTCTTTTAGCATTTACTTGACCGATCTGAGAACCGTGAACGAGATCGGTGTGAAGTTCTACAGGGAGAATAACTGTTATTTGGGAGAGATCGCGTTGGAAGGGAAACACCGTCGATACGGTGAGTCGATCTTGCTAATCTCGCGTCCTCCTCGCGTTCATTCAACTCTACCTTATTAGCCGCATTACAATGCTGATTCGTTTACACTTGTTTACGGGAACGATAGGTGTGGCGCCTACGCGAAACGAACAACGGTACTCAAGACAAACGGTAAGCGAGCAAAGACAATGCACACGTCCACAGAAAATATATATGTCAAAGTTGAAAGTCTCTTTCGGGATAAGCTTTCGACACCTTGACCTCGCATTTTAACGAGAAAAATTCATTTTATTATTTATGCAAGCAAGCGCACAAGCAAGCAATTAACCATTGCGACAGAAAAGATTTGCGTAATTCGCGAGGAGTCGGTTAAAATGCTGCATCAATTATTTAGCATTTGTCGTTTCACTTGAGATACGCGACTTGTTTCTCGTACGTTAAGCTTCGAGGAAGGAAGCAGAAGCGTTCGTTCGATCGAAAGGGGAACATTAACAACGATTCGTTGAGATTCTAGTGGCAGGCCGACCCGAATTACGCTATTCCCTGTCGCAACAGAGAGAAAGAGAGAAAGAGAGATCCCGTCCTGCGTAATTCGAGAGTTCTCGAGGAGGCGGTCGTGCCTTCATTGATATTCCTGCAGTAATTCGCTCGAGTTTTCGCGCCCCACCCCTTTCCCTCTCTCGAATATCGATTCCCGCTCGCCTATTACCTATTCTTACAAGCTGTTTTATATCCAATTTTGATTCTACGATCCCCCTGGGTGATGTAACGTACGACGGGATGAACGGGAATACTAGATTCTGCGTGACCTAAAAGTAGATAATCAGTAAAATGAAAGAAGATGCCGTTTCACGTTTATAGGATGAGATCAGAATGTTTTCCTGCTTGGCCAAGGCGAGCCGGTTGTGTTGGGTGTTGATACAAGGACGACGGTGTTCACGTGAGAGAAAAAGAGAAGAAAAGTTTAAGTTAGAGTAGTGCGAGGAAACAAACGTTCACTTTAACGAGCCCATTATTGCATTCCACAACTTTTTTTCTTCAATTCGATCCCGAAGATAAGCAAATATTTGATTACTTCTTAATCGTTGTACTCGTACAACGTTTTTTACAGCGTTTTCGGTTAATCGGGTTAGGAGAGTTACATCGGGTTACAACTCCCGCCACAGTCACGTTTTACTTTCGCAAAACGATGACGAGATACGGCGCTCCTAGGAACGTCTCTTACTGGAATGCAAACGTACGCAATCCATTGCGGGGAACGAGGTTCGTTGGTCTTGCACCGGTCAGTTCGTTGGCCTACTCTCTTAACCGTTTCGATCGCAACCGATACGGTTTCTTTCTCTCTCTCTCTCTCTCTTTTTCTCTCTGTACCCCCTCCGGCCCCCCTTCTCACCTGCTTTCGGGAATTTTTCTCTCTTTCTAATTGTAAGATTATTTTTTTTTCTGCTCGATCGTCCTAACGCTTGTTATGTCTACGCAACGAATCGATATCGAAAGTAAATCCGACGGTGAAATTCTGTTGTCGGTGGTTAACGTAACTACTCCTCGACTTTCCGTGACGTTTCTCTTTGCCTTGCGTCCCCTCCCCCTTCCCCTTTCTACTTCTCGTCTGTCAGGTGCGTTAGCACCTTATTAGAAACGTGTATTTCGTTCGTATCTTTCGGCTCTTCTTTCGTGGTCGCAGTGGTTTTCCTAAACGAAATGAGTTTATCGAGTTGGAAAGTTCTGTTAGTATTTAGCGTTCAAATAATACGCCGGGGCTAGATATTCACTGATTTTTTCGCAGCTCGAATTCATATTACGGCTTTGGGACAGTCGGTGATGCACGCCGACGTGAACGTGTTAATACCGTGGGAAAAAAAAAACAAGCAAGCGATAGGTAAGGGGGTAGAGGGGGAGTGTTAGGATTTCAAGGTTGCTTCCGTATTTTCTCAAGTCGTTCCATCAGGTGTAGTAGTAGCAGCAGCAGCATTTATGAAATCCTATTACGAGGACTTTCACCTCGTCCGATCGGATAATTATCCGATAGGACGAAGCATAGGGTTGAGGAGGTGGTTCGTGACAGTGGCACTATGGTACAGTTTTCTGCTCCAATAAAGTCACCTTCTGGCTGGCTGGGTGACTAGAGGAAAAGGCGCGAAGGAACTCGATTTTCCAGTTGGGCGCGAACGCGTGCGCACGCCTAACTGTAATAACACCGAATGGTGGTATATATACACATTACCTATTACTTTATGCCATGTGCACATTTCAATAAATACTTATCCGAGGAAACTCGGATTGCTTAGGTGGTATCTGGGTCGTTGCCGTTTATATGACGAAATAATCGAGTTTCTGGAATATTTCGAATTGAATTTCAAACAAAACCAGCCGAATCGAATTGACAGGTAAATAATAATATCGGAAACTGCACGGAGATTTAGTTCGAGTTTTAGGTCGATAAACTGTTGAGAAGTTTTCCCTTTCCAATTTCTATGGTTTCCTCGCCTCATTAGAAACACCACACCTTCTTATTGGTATTTCCTGTCCGAAAACCGATTTTCTCTGTTCTTCGAATGCAATGCGACAATTTCTTCTTCCAAAATATGGCGAAATATTAAATTGTAGTCCTAATCTAGCGCTAGTTGAACATTTTGTTAATTGCTTGGTCGTTGCTTTGGCAACGTTTTACTCAACGCTTCTTATTATTCTTATTTGCATAATTTCGCAGAGTTACGATCGCGTAGAATAGAAGAAAGGGGTGGGGGGATACGGTAGGAAATGGGAACTGTAAAAGGGGAGAAAAAATGGCTCGGTTATTGCACGAAGAAAGAAGAAAAGGTTAAATTATTATTTCATCTCTGTGGAATGCACTATCCGAGCGCATAAGAAGAACAATTTCTCATCGGAGGAGGAACGACGACGAGTATCTAAAGACTCCGGTCGGGATCGTTTCCCACGTCCGGTTGGTTTCTAACGATCGGCAGGCACTTTCCTTGCGCATGATTGGCAAAAAGTACCGAATCACGGGCTAAACTTTCGCTACCCTTCTGCTTGGAAACGTTTTAGATAAATTGACGGCTGGATAATAATTCGAAATGCGCGCAAGTAGGATTCGCTAGCGTTCAGGATGTTTGACCTCTCTCTCTTTCTCTCTCAGTTGCACTCAAACATTTCTCTCTCTGAGCAAAGTCGGTTTAGAAAGGCGGAGAAACCTCTGGAAGCTCTCTGTTGGAATAGTTAGCTCCATCTCGTCCTCCGATCGGCATTTCGGAAACTCGAGGAGTAGTAATAGTAATAGTAGTAGTAGTAGTATTATTATAGTAGTAGCGGCATCATCATGCTCGTGGAAAAAAAAAGTTATGAGAATAATAAAAGAGCAAACCGCGGCAAACGGGAGATATGCTTACCGAGTTTGTTCTCGGGCAAACAAACTCTGAGACGACGCTAACGTGTTATGGCTTTTATCGCTAGAAGAAAAACTTATTAGACGTGGTTGGGCTAATTGCAGTCAGAAGAGTGTTACCCAGGGCTAACTGCGGAAAGGTATCGCTCGAGCGAGCTTAACCAACCACCTGCTGTTACGCGCGAGAACTCGCCTAACGTTTTCCACTGGCCGAACAACAAAAAACATTGTCTTAACATTTAATCCCAAATTTCTTCTTTCGATTTATTTATTGTTTTCCTATTTAAAAATGCAGTCTCCGATCGGGGGACATCCCCCAGCCCGACCCAATGGATGAGAGAATTCGTGTTACAATGGGAACCCCCAAGCGTGAGGGGGAGGGGCACGGTAACCGCGTGGTTCTTGGTTAACATAAAATCTCGTTGAAGGCGCAGGTTGAAAAGGAGGGAAAGGTGAACGAAGACGGCGTCTTACCGGTGTATGGTGAGCGGGAAAGCGGGATAGAAAAAGGAAGGGAAAAGAGAGAGAGAAAGAGAGAGAAAGGCTGCTGGTACAACATTCGCGATTCCTTCTTTCAACTCTAAACGTTCCAGTCACGGTACGGACGTGAGATCGACTGGTCGACTTTGACGTTCACTCGCTTGCCGACATTACTCTCTCTCGCTTATATTCTATATCATAATTATATTATTAATCTACCCCTATCGTCGGGGTGCGCGCGTGTTATTTCAAGTGTATCTTCAACAGTGTCCTCTGATATCGTTGCATCGAACAAACTCATTATTGTTGATCGTTCACATTTCGGAGCTACCAGATTCAGTTCAGATTGCTGATTGTCTCATCGTTGTCGGTACGTTGACACGAAATGATTGATTTCATTATTAACGCACCCATTAGCAGCAGCACCCATTTCAAATAGATCTAGAATGAAAGTTAGATCGTTTGATCATTTGTGCGATCGACCTTGCCTCTAGTTGCCTTGATTCGTTGCTTGGAAATCGGACGTAAAAAAATTCTATCTATGAGTACGTAAAAAGAAGATCCGACACACTTGTTTCTTACTTAATTTACAGATCGTTGCGAGTCAGCGGACTGTGCCAACCGGATCAGCGACTACACCGTGTCTACTGACCTTTCCCGAACAGCCTAGCTACGTTAGAAGTAATATAATATATAAGAATAAGATCGGAAGTAGTACGAGCAACCGATAGAATCCAATTGCGAATTGCTTCTAATAAAAGGAATAATATGTAAAAGGGAGATCGATAACACCCGAAGGAATTCCCTTCTATTTTGTGGCTCGAAAAATGATCAAGGAGAAAATAAATGACGCAAGTATGGCCTTGGACTCGACCGTCAGGAGTCAGGATTCTAGCGATTCTAACGAATCCAAGGAATTCAGCAATGCCGGTTCCAAGCCGGAAAGTTGCATGGAATCCAAACACTCCAAGGAGATATTGATATCGGATAAACAACAGAAACAACAGCAACATCAGCCTCATGCGAGACAACAAAACGATGCAGTGGTACCGAAATTGCGTAACGCGGAACAACACGGAGACGATGATTCCAATCTTCTCATGTTCACATCTTGCGGTCAATTATTGCTTGGTAAGTTTTTCATACGTGGACAGCTTTTTATCCTTTTAAATACGATCCTTGGGGTGTGTGTATCAAACAGCGGCCACGATCTTCGTGCTGAAAAAGAAAATATTCATTTTCTCAACAACACGCATGAGTTTCGATACGATGCTGCCGATCTTAAATAGACTAGAAAAAAAAAATTCATTAGAAAGACCCCGAACAGACGCGCGTGTTCGTGCGCGGTCTCCTCTGAGCCCTTGCACCCGCTCGCCTATAGAAGAAAATGGCGTAAAAGTGAAAACATTTCACTTAGAAAGTTATAATAATGGTACACGGTTAATGCCATTAGAATCCCTAAGATTCGCAAACCGTGACAACAAAAATTAGAATGTCAAGAGTAGTTTGTCGGCAATTTGTCAGCAATTTATCAGAAATGAAAATCTTATTTCTTGAGATAGTTGAGGAAAAAAATGAACAATCGAAAGAAAGAAAGAAAAGTGTAGTACTGATGTTTCACGTTCCTACAGGTATCGTCTTAGTGGTGTTCGGTGTTCTGGTACTGGTCCATGGCGCTTCGTTAGGAGGATCAGGTGCAGGATTATGGGCAGGAACAGGTGCGTTGGTCGCTGGAGCGTTGGGGGTACTTGCAGCTTTGGCTAGTTCATCCGGAAGAACAAATTCTGGATTTTGTACGGCTCATTTAGCTTCGAGCTTGGTCGCACTGGCGCTTTCCAACATGGCTGCCATCACGGCCCTGACGGCGGTCGTCAGGGACTCTCAAAGGACTCCGGAAACGAGCCTTTTTACGCTTCCCGTAAGGATTCTTGCATTATTCCCACCTTCTATTTTCTTTCTTTCTCTCTGCATCGATTAACGTGCCGAGCCCTTATCGATGACCTCCTTTTCCCCTCCCTCATCCTCCCGTCCTGATTGCAACCTCGCAACTCGCGAGGTTTTTTTTTAACTTCAAGTCGTCGGCTCGGCTCGCAAAGGAGACGCGCGATCGTTGGAGAAAGTTATCAATGCCAAGGCTAAAATGCGGTCATGAAGCACCATTATGGAATTTCAGAGATAGTCTCGCTGGCGTTCAACCCAAAATGGCTACACCGAACAAAATGGCAGAGAGAAAGAGAGATTCCCCGATTGACGTTTTACGAAAATTAATTCATTTCATTTTGTTGAACTTATTAGGGCGAGGAGAACAATATATTGGAAATAGAAGGTGGTGGTTGGGCCGGTCTATTGGCCAGCATCGGTTTGCTGATCGGTAGCGTTGCAGAGTTACTCATCTCAGGCTACACCTGTTTGACCTTAACACCGAAACTCTGTAGCTGTCTGAGATCAAATCCAGCTGACGAGATCGGTTGCGTGGATGGTCGATTAAAGACGCGTAATATGGTCCAACAATGGGTGGTCGCGCAAAATCACGTGCCGAAGAATCAACCGATTTACGTGGTTCAACCGGTGATGCCGGTCCATCCTTTGATACGAGTAAGTTTATTTAATTTTTTCGTATATATATGTACCTTCGAGAATGATGACGCAACGAGAACGTGCTCGAAAAGGTTTTGGGTGTGTAGGTCAGTGGCACGACTAATTGTATGACTAGAAAGTTCGGACGTCGATGGCCGTAAGGCAGAAAAATTCTGATCCCTTCACAAGTTTCCAAGTCTTTATATGTTTGTTTGTGTTTTTTTTTATATTTCAGACACCTTACGGTGTACCACCACCATCCGGTGCACCAGGAAAGTATCCCGGAGGATTTATTTCAGCGACACCGATTGCTATGCCACCAGCACCGTACGGCCCGGTCCCCGTAATTTCTCACATGCCGCCTTACGCTCAACGACCACCATCGCAAATGGTGAATCCTCCTTAATATTTCTAAGTGTATGCATAATACTGTTAGTGTTGCACGAATCGATCACACTTACGTTTCTCCCATAGATTCGATTGAAACATAAACGTCACAATCAATCGGAACAAGGGGACACCGTAGAAAGGAAAGGTCGTAAAGAATCCGAGGTAAAAAACGAATTCAAGAGAATATCATCGATAAGCGAAGATCAGGTTGACCTGGCACAGACCTACACCGGTTTAGACAAGAGAATTTCCGAAGAATTTATCTCCATAGCAATGGATCCAGATAGAAAGTCCAAAGCTTCGAGTCATCATGGCAGCGAAGTTGGTATCGCTAAGAATACGTGAAAACTGATCAACTCGACGCTCGATTAAATTCGTTCTGTCGGGTATACATCGTTGGATAAATCATTTTTCATAGCTTTCTTAGCGCGCATGCGAGAAAGAGAAAGAGACTATAGTAAGAAGTATGAAGAATTCCATCAGCGAGGCACACTTAAGTTCGCTCGCATTTCTTTTCGATACCATCGGCATTATTCTATTCATACACTTTCCAAAGTACATATATAGAAACGCGAATTATTTTCTACACATTAGTTGAACGCACTAGAGGCAAATTTATATATCCATTGATTTAATGCGAAACAATTTCAAGCATTTCAAGTATTACTCCAATTCGATTCTGTCGGTTGTTCGAAACAGATGAGATTTTAGATTAGATTTTTATATCTCAAATCTATAGTTACTTGTACACCTATCTCCTTTTTTTTCTCTTTTTTTTTCTACGATGGGCATGTACTTAATTATTGTGCAGATTCTGTCATGTATATACGTTTACGAACAATAATAATATTAATAATAATGATTATAATTATAGTAATAATGTTGGTATTAATATAATAACGTTGATAATAGTTAATTTACGATGATGTGTGATTAATATAAATTATATATACGAGTACATAAAAGAGATAAATTGTTATATTTATATCTAAACATCATCGATGTAGAAAGTTGTTGTCCGTTAATAAAATTTAATCAAATGCGTAGAAAGTTTAAGGAGTAAAAAAGAACATCGAATTTTATTAATAATGTTCTCGTCGAAGTACCGCACAATTAATTTCCGAACCGATAGCGCGTTTCCGATGATCGATATAAAGTTCCTCGATGATGGACAAATTTCTTTTGTAAATTTCACGCAACTGGTTCAATTCTTCGTCGAGATATTTCTTCTCCTTTTCCAGGATACGCGGTACATGCAATTCCTGTTCCTTTCTTTCCTCCGCAAGTGACCGAAATTTATTCAAATATATTCCAAGTTTAGCATTTTCTTCCTGCAAACGCAACAACTCTTTCTTCAGCCATTGTCCTCTCATGAAAACTCGGTGAACGAGTTTTTCCGTCGGGTCTGACTGTTCTCTCGTCTCGAGGGGTTTCTAAAAATATGAATTAAAGGGGAATCCAATCCGGTTGTGAATGTAATATTAATCTCGTTAGGAATCAAACAATACCGCAACTAATAATTTCGAAAGTTTCTTTTTGTCTTTTCCGTCGGCTATCCAGTCAAAGTCTGGTGAAATTTCATGAAGACGTCTTTTTATTCTCGTTATTCTGCGAGCCGTAGCTTTCGACAATCTTCTAAACTTATCTTTGATATCGTTTAGAGCATGAATCATCACGTCAGTTTCGTCCTGTATCTAACGAACAAACATACATGTAATTATTATCGTTAAATCGTATTCCTAGCATACTCTTTGATCAACTACATCTTCTACGATTTCTCGAAAATATTGCAAATTCTTTTCTAAAATTTCCCGAAGGATTAAACCACCGTCCTGCACGTAAGGCATCACGTTAAAAACAAATTTGGCGGTATTCGTAATATCACCAGCATATACTCGCTCGATAACTTCTCGGATGCCGTTTATGTCCGCCTGCAGGAAATATAGAAATCTGCATTACCGACTGTTCAAAAAAGGTAATCGTTTGTTACCATCGGTTGAAGATTCTCGATTGGTAGATTCAAACTTTTCCTCATAGATGGCGCTCTCTGTACGGAAAAGAAAATGCACACATTCAAATTATTCTTTGTATAAATTGATTTGGGTGGATCAAAATGAAAAGACTACAATTGAATTAAATCGAAAAGTACCCAAGTCGATGAACTAACAGACTGGCAATTTCCAGGACAAATAAAAGATTCGGATCTATCGAATTTATCAATCCCTCTTCTCTTAGACTCCATTGCGTTAAAGTTTTGTAGAAGTAAGTTCGATCACACGATAATTTAGTCTCTGTCTTCTTTGAGTATATCAAGCACAACTTTTTATAATGCCGTTTTATTTCATTTAATTATCTTCCACAAATTCCATTGATAAATTTCTACCTCAGAGATTTTCTTATTGCATATTTCGTACTTAATTTTCTTTAACGTTCCTCTTGAATCAAAGTTCGATATCGAGAAGTATTCTCGAAACATTCGAAACGTTGCACTTATTTTCGACTCACTTTGAAACCCATTATTTATCGATATGAAATTATTCATGAAATTCATTTCGCAGATATTTTCACTCATTAATGGCAAAGCACAAAAAGTATGTAAAAAGAAAAACAATGAATATTTTTGAAGATATTCACAGTTATTTAATATCAATCACCACCACCGTATATAATAATTAAAAACACACATAAATAAATAATTTTAATTTGTATATAGAAATAGTAGAATAAATGTCTTGAATATAGGATATAACAGTCCACACTAAACTTCAGTTTGTCGGCTAACTTCGTGATGTTAATTTTTCGCGTCGCTGTGCGCGCGCATCGTAAAAATTCGGTCTCAGTGTCAGACATTTTTTTTCCCAAACGCGGCGAAAGAAGTATAACTTAAAAAAAAATTAAGATCTCCCTTTTGGATGAAAGATTTCGAAAGTCGTCATTCATGGAATGTTTCGAAATGTGCATGGAAATAGGAGCGTGCCGATTTAGGCGATGAATCAGCGGGCATTCATCGTTACGTCGCCATCGAGGCACGACGTAACCATAAAATACATATATATCCCATATAATAGCTGTTTGATATAATAGGATATAATAGGAGGGTATATATATATATATATATAAAGTGCTAGGTGTAGGCGAGGCGCGTTATTTATGTATGGGAAACGTTTGGTCTACAGATATCGTGGAATCACGAGCTCAGTTGACCCTTTCGCAATGATCGACTACATTTCCTTGATAACGCGATAGTTCTCTTAACACATTCGTGGCCGCCAATTTTGTTTCCGTTTCCAATATCGAGAGTACCAACAAAAATAATCAAATTCATTATGTGTCGCTTAATTTTGCCCTAGATTCTTCGATACTACGTAAAATCGAAAAGAATGCCGAAAAATTCGTACCGAAACTACATCTCACCGGGTTTAATCCTCGTTCAAACATATTTGCGGTTTACAGAATCTGTTGCTACGATTAGAAATTGTTTATCGTTAATAATTGCACTGCGAATGTGATCCAAAGTTCAAAAAAAGTGTGAATTTTCCAAACTAATTTACTTAAGAACTGTTAGAACAAACGGTTTGCATATTTGAATTGAACGTGCACAATATTACCCAAAATCAGCTCTAAGATTGCAAATGAGTCAACTATCTTTTTATTTAAGAAATTTCTTTTACAGGACTACTAGAGAAGAACTTGTTTTGCATGACTGGGATCAAAAATACGCGGGATCAATTTAAAGAGATTGAAGTAGATTGTCCTTTAAGATTTTCCTTTTCTTTTTGATTTATTCGAAGTACTCGCGCGAGTCCCATAGCCAATGGGGCGTCCCGAAGGGCCGGTGGTCGCGTGGCATAGCCCGTTCCGCGCCAAGCACCTGTCTTTCTTTCAGTAGATACTCGAGTAAGGTACCTACTACTCTCTTGTACCAAGTATCCAAAGACGGCTGGCGAAACGTTCAAGAGCAGAAGGCCTGTCAGCTGCGCCGCAAACAGCAGCTGACAACAACGAATGCTCTGCCCCATAAGTTGTTCCCAACTTTTTAATATCTTTTACAAATTCCTATCTCAACCGATAGAACAACAACCTCAGTCTTAAATCCAATCTCTTGATCATTCCCGATCGAATTTCAATCTGAAGTATTCATCGGGATATAATCAAGTAACTTGAGTATACTAAACGGGGACCTAATCGAATATTAGCCGGATCAAATGCGTCTAATCGAACTTGAATGCATTTAATCGATGCCATTTCTAAGTTTTCCCTTAAGACAACACAAAAAATAGGTAGACGGAATGTTTTATGCATTGTGTGGTTTGCGAAATTTCATTCTAATCCCCGTTCTAATCTGTGTCATCTATTTGGACTTGCAAGACCTTAAGAAATAAAAATAAAATGAAAAAGAAAAAAAAATGTAGAAGGGATTGTAAGGGACTAGAAAGGAGCCAGATGACCGAGCCGTGTGCATGTTACAACACAGCTGCACACGTTGGTTATTTGTATCGGTTTGTACCGTCGTCCACCGTCGTAGTTTCAACGAACCATTTCACCGTACCACCTTCGCTCTCCCAGCTTCAGTCCACGTTGAACCGTCGTTGCCGTAACGTCACGTCTGACCGTCTTATTTTTCCCCTTTCTCTTCTTAACCCGGTACTTAGAAATATTTATCGATATATAAACCGCGAATTCTTTAACATTTTACCCAGTGTCAATCAACAATTCCAAATATCGAGCATGATTTCTCGAAGAATGCAAGAACAATAGTGATATCTTTAACTGGATCTATTCGTAAAGGAAACATTAATTATAAAAAAAAGTTCGAAAATGATCCCAACGAGAAAATCAATCGTGATCTTGCTAACAATTGTCACCCTGATCCTACCCATCGATGTAAGTTTCAATTGATTTTTTCTGTTCCCATATAAATTAATCATCCTTAAGTTTTGTATACTTTTCATACTATTGGATTGGCAACTATCATAAGTGATTGTGGATTATAAATAAGAAAGAAAATTCGAAATTTTTGCTTAAAAATATGACTTTATTCAATTATGTATCAGTTCATGAAAATTTCTGAATAAATGTGATTTGTTTCTCACTTAGTTGGCAATCCAATAAATCGTCGACGTTTGCATACGAACCTAAACGCAGGATGATGGTAACACGTTGCGTAAGGCGGAAACGATGATTCTTTTCTCGACAACGTACGATTAAAACAACAACAACAACAACATTAACGTAATCGTACAATTTTCCCTGTTAACCGACACGCAGAGACAAAAGATCTATTATCGGCTAATTGCTTCGATAGTTAATAATAAGGTGTATAATAAAAAAGAATACGAGTGAGTGAGAGAGAAAAATAAACTAAAAAAGACAAAATGTAAATGAAATTGGAGCTATCCCAGTTGGGATACTTCCTTCGAAGTGGCGAAAAGGCAAGATCGTTTGTTCGGATAAGAGGAGTGTGGTTCGCATGAAACGCGCATCCCTCCGTGACGACAATAGGGCCCATAGAATGTGTGAGAGAGTGAGAGAAAGGGAGTGTAGGGTTAAACCCCTTAAGGTCGACCGAGAAAGATCAGGCCTGGTCAAAAGTCTGTGCAATTTCTACTAACGAACCGTGCAACTCGTGGGAGCCGATTCCAGAACTTCTGGTACCTTGGCTATATCTGAGTTTTTCTCTCTGTGTCTCTTTGCATGCACTTTTACATTCACACACAGACACATATACAAGAATGAGAAGTTTGTAAGATAACTGGCCACGGATTCGTTAAACTTTGACTTTTCGTTCAGATCTCTGCGTCATTCTCCTAGTCATTATCATTCGAATCCAATTACGTTTTGTTGTTGTTGTTGCGAAATCCTCTCGAAAAGTAACACTATTTCATTGAATTTTTTTCAAATCAACTTTATTTTTTCACTTGCTCCACAACTTGTCCCAGTTTTGCTATTCGCGTTGGCAGGAGTTTGAACAACAAAAAAAAACATTTAATTAAAAAGGGAACTGCATTTAAAGATGTTTATTAAATACACCGGCAGGTTTTATATATTCAACGATAGAATATTCTAAACATCTCGCTGAGAGAATCACGACGACGAGTAGTTAGTTCTTTATTTTTTGTTTTAAATAAACCACACACGAGTGCTTACTCATTACTTTAGTCGTCGTTTGAAAAGGTAAGAAAGAAAGAAAACAAAAAACAAAAAAATTAAAAATGGAAAGGAAACGTTATAGTTTAGTCGGATCTATTGAAGGATTAGCCACAATTTTCTTCCTTTTTTTTTTCTCTAAAAAAAAAAAAGAAATAAAAAGAAGCACATACAAACACACACACACACACATTAATTACGACGCTGTTTGCAATTACTTTAGGTCCCTGACACGCGGCTGCCCGGGCTCTTGGAAAATCAAATGCAAATGCATTTCTCTCTTTCTCTCATTCTTCCTCTCTGGTAGGAAACGTTTGAAAAGCTTTTTTTCCACCATCTGACCTATATTTTGCGAGATCAACGCGAAGCTACGAAAATTTAGAAATTCTCTTCTTTCTATAATAAAAAAGAGAAGAGAAATTTCTTCACGGTTGAACACCACCATTACGGTCACTTATTTTCCTTTATTCAAATTATTCGATGTTTTGTTTCGAATTTACTTCGAATATAATTTCGATTTCACCGATGCTGAATTTTTTTCTTGCTAAATTTATAGCTTCGCGGATGAACGAATTAACGGTGTAAAAGTAAGAAAGAAAGAAAGAAGAATGGAAGGGGAGAAGGAGGGAAGGGGGTCAGGGGGAGGCAGGGGGGACTGCCTTTAGGTGGATCGATTTGCTATGATTTATGATTTTTTATACCCAAAGAATTTCCCGCCCACTTCCTTTTTAAGCCAAAGGCGTTCGAAAACAATGGGGAAGTTGTTATGCGAATGTTTCGTAGAGATAATTATCCGAAGCAGCTGCCAAGGTATTCCCTTTAACCCTTCGAGCAAACTGAGGGGACCATTTCGATTTTCACTTCGTCGATGTCGATTAGGTTGCTGAACATGAAATATCTGATGATTTTTAAGTGAATTTATAAAACTACCTATTGTTTTTTTTCTCAAAATCTGTTTTTTAATGCACAAATGCTAGTCTTAAATAAATTCTGATCATTAAAGTTAACAAACTCTGTGTGATATATGGAATTTTTCAGTTTTTCAGTTTTTATTTTTATTTTATTTAGCCTGTAAAAATTGTTCTAAATGTTTATAAAATTTAGAAATTTTAATATTAGTTAAAAATTAATTAAAATTAAGAATCGTTTTCTGAAATTATTAATAATTATAATTTTCATTTTGTTAGCAAGTTCCCTTGTTGGTACAATAGGATTCGTTTTTCTGCCAATGCTTTGGGAGCATCATTTTTCACAATCGTTTTCGGTCTTCCACGTGGTTCATTTTAAAGGGAAAATTTACCAAATCGAAATTTTTCAAACCAACGCTACCCCTTTCGATCGTTAACAGTATTCATCCCAAATGCCTGATTTATATTGCGTGCATTTTTTTCTGCACCATTATTACAAACCTAATACTCATACACAAAATTACACGAATATCGGGTTGAATTCATATCTTTACGAAATTGAAAAAGAATCAGTAACAAAATTGAACACTTAAGAAATTTTTTTATGTTGAAATGTGTGACTCTATCAATGAACAGTACAACTATAAATGAATTTATGCCAAAAACAAATGAATAACGACATATTTCATAAGCTAATAACCTAACCTAATAGTAAAATGGTGTACACGTATAATAGTCACGATCTTTCCAATTAGAAAAAGAAAAAAATGTTGGTCCCTTATCGTGTTAATCGTGGAAGGGATCAAAGTAACCCCTTTAACGCATGCACCGGGCCCTTTCTTGCACGCGTCGATGAATAAAACGAACGGATAGGGGAAAAACACACTCGACTTTTCGATGGTCAAACGTTTATTCGAAAAAAAAAAAAAAAGACACTACAGGGAAGGGAAAAGGAAATAAAATACGCGAAGAAGGAGGGGAGAATATATGTGATGACAATTACAGCTTCCGGTTTGTATCCGCCCTGCCGGAAGTTCCTATTCATACTCGTCACTGCGAGTGCGTTGTGTTACTTCCGTTATCGTCGATACGAAAATTTGCAATCAAACTACACTCGAATTCCTTTAATATGATTTTCATTTTTTTCCAATACGAAATAATTATTACAGAAATCTTAATCATATATAATTGAAATATATTTTGTATTATTAATATATTTAATTATATGAATATTTAGTATATTATTAGGATGAATCAAATATTTATTAATATTTCCAAAATAAATGTTACAAAAACAATTCATTATGCAGTTTGTAATACAATAAACAAATGAACTTTTGATTCACCACCTAATGGTATATATTTAATATTTAAATATTAATATAATATATTTATAAAATATATATTAGTATTATTATGCCGGTATTTGTGGGTCAGTTCGATAACTCGTTAAAATATTTCGTTGAAGTTTATCATTCTTTCTGAAATCGATCGATACGACCTGACACGTATTCTCATCTTTCAGGATACACCTTTCGTTTTTTTTTATCTCTCGTTTAAAAGAAATAAGAAATTAATAACGACACGTGCCGAAAACCGGCTACCAACACCTGCCACCTACCTACCTCCCAACTCCACGATACGGCGCGTATTTCCATTTCGTTTATTCATTTCAAAATTAAAAATACATCCTCTGATAAGAATAAATCCAAAATATTCACAAATAATCAATGTTTTTGAAGATATTCCATATCGCTTATAAATTTGATGAATCTGTTTGAAATTAGATACAATTATAGGTTATATTGTTTAGAACAATCCTTAAAAATACCAAATTTTTAAGTTCATTACTTTCTTATATATATTAAATCAATAAATATAAATATAAGTAACTGAAAACAAAAAAATAACAGTCCTTAACTTAAACTTCATTTCGTTGACTAACTTCACGCTGTTAATTTGTTCATGCCATAAAAAAAAAAGGTTGCAGTGTTTGACGTATTTATTTCGATAATTCTTATGAAAAAAAAGAGAAAGAGACAAAAAATCCGCGAGAAAACGTGCTGGTAGCTTGAATAAATGAAAAAGGAGCCACCATTTCTGTTCTTGCCTTTGGTTATTTATACCATTTTCCTTATATTTACGGAAACGAAGAGAAATAAAGAAAGAAAGGCAGGCAGACAAGCAGGCAAGCAGGCGCAAGGTGTTTGCCTCGAAGTCAGGTGCTTTTTATTCCTGGACACCTGTTCTTCAACGGTCCAATTTGAATACTAAATTTAGTCTTATGGAAAGGCTGATCGTATCACCCTTTTACGATCAACATCAAGAAAAAAAAAAAAGCAACAATTTGTCTAACTTTGCGCGAACCTTTTTTTCCCCTTCGATCCTGTCCACTCTGAAGGAGGGGAAATGGGGGAAGGGGTGAGGGAGAGGGAGGTGAAGGAAAGTAAATTAACCGTAAGAAAAAAGGTGGTATTAACCGTCTGTTCTATTTGATTCCAGGTGACCGAGGGTAGGCCTCGCATAAGGCATCATAAAGGGGGTACGCATTGCAGCAGATGTGGTCCAGGTTGGGGTGCAACTAGTAGATGCATTCGTGGTCGTGACACTGAGTGCACCAAGTGTTTGTCTGGCACTTATAGTCCTCATCACAGTACCCAACCCTGTTGGATATGTTCGAGGTGTGGTCCAGGATTGTACGAAGCTCATTCGTGCACTTCGAAAACCGACACGGTTTGCGATTCCTGTCATCGTGCGGCACCGGACAATCCGGATTATCATCGGAAATGTAAAAATCGTGGAAACTTTTTCTTGGCGCCCGAAGACGCCGAGAACACTGCTGAGGAAACTGTATTGATCAATCAACCAGATCGAATGTTTCATATGAAGGATAGACAAGAAATTATTGAAAAAGATATCGAAGCTGCTGGGTTTCATTTGCTGTTGGAGGAAGAATCCACTGATCGTAACGATTTCGATTACGAATCCAAATCACAAATCATGCAAAGGCTTTGAATTATTCGTTAGGCTGAATCAAAAGTTCGTGTACGGGTTTATCTTTTTTTTTCTTTTTATTAAATTCACATTTCTCAAATATATTTTACAAAAAAACAATTACACATTACATGCAATTTATAACACGATAAAATCGCCACGAAATTTTGGTTCACTCTAATGAAAAGGGGGAAAAAAAAAACAAAAGAAAAAACAATCGTTGTTTTTACTAGTCAACTCAATATGCCAACGTATATATGTACATATGCATGTGACGATGATTACGTCCAAAGTTCTTCCGCTCGTTCTGCCGAAATTAAATTCGAAAACGTGTGAATGATTTTTTTTCTTTTTTTTTTTCTGCACGAATGTCCATTCAACACAGGGCAGCAGCAGCAGCACGCTTTGTGTATACAGCTATTTTTATTTGATTTATTTTATAATACTTTGAATAGGTGTACAATGGTACTAGCGAATTATTGTATAAGAAAATGATGAAATGCTTTCCAAGTTTTTTCTTCGATACTAATGCATCATCTTACTTTCATCTCGTTTTTTATTTTTTCCTTTATTTATACTTTTTTTTTTGCTCTTCTTTAATTAGGACGCTTGCAACGGTCTCTTTTGTTTTATATACACGACTTGTATATACCTACATATTGCATATTTCTTATTTTTAATGAATAATTTGTGTGTTTTTATATATATTAGGGTGTTCCTTATTTACATCATTTTGGAATTTGTTGTTTCCCACCCCTAAAATATCTTCTAAATACATAAACAAAAATTACTGTAAATTTGGAGCTCTTAATTTTAATATTAACATGAAATTAGGTACAGTTGTAGGTTATATTAGTTAGAACCATCCTTAAAAATGAAAAATTTTTAAGTTCATTACTTCCTTATATATATTAAGTCAATAAATAAGTGGAAAAAATAAAAAAAACAATAAATAAATGTCTTGAATATAGATAACAGTTCACCTAAACTTCAGTTCGTTGACTAACTTCATGGTGTTAATTTTTTCGTGTCGCTGTGCGCGCGCATCATAAAAATTCACTCGTCATTTTTTCCCAAACGCGTAAAAAGAAGTATAACTTATAGTATAACCTACAACTGTATCAAATTACAAACAGATTCATCAATTGTTACAAGAATTATGCATAAAAATTGCACGTATTTTTCATTTAAAACTTTGACGACTCTGGGGGAGCTTGTTAATATTAAAATTAAGATCACAAAATTGACAGAAATGTTTGTTTATGTATTTAGAAGATGTTTAGGAGTCAGGAAAACTAAAATTTCCAAATGATGTAAATAAGGACCCCACCCTAATGTACATATACATATATATATTAATTTTCGCTCAAAATTTTTGGTTTTAAATGCATAAAATATTATGAAAAATTAACTATTTTCTGTTGTTTTTAACTTTTTCGAATTAGATTTCATCATCGCGTTGCAACGAAAAGAAACATCAGTATGTCGTTGATTTGTCGCTTACAATCCGTTTATTTTGTTTGTTTGTTTGTTAAATAAACAAAACACCCCATTATGGAGAAGACGAACGATTCTAATGGGTGTCAATATCGTTGTTGTTGCTGATTTACAATGTATATCATGGTTATTACAATATGAAATATATATAACGTGAAAATACACGATATTCTTAAGAAAAAACTGAAGAAAACTTAAACGCAATTAAAAAGAAAAATGTTTCTTAAGTTTAGCGTTTATGCACATATAATAACAAGAGTTAACCTAATCGCAAATGGTAGAGTATCATTGTTTCGAGACAAAAAAAAGCAAAAAAATCAGATGCACTAGAATCGTAATTAATATATCTCTATTTTTTATCTATTTCACGTTCTTATTCCTAATCGTTCATACATATACATACGATATATTGTTGCAAATTTAATCGAATATATATGTATATATTTTTTTTTAATTCTTATTAAATAATAATACTTTTTTTTGTCCTCGTCGATAGGAAAACGCGTATGGGAATTATAATCTCTAAAGTCTTTCACACATCGAATACGCCTAATTATCTAATTATGTGTATTATTATTGTTATATATTTTTCATTTCTTAAAACGTATTTCAATTCTAATCGCGTATCATACTAATATAACTTATTATATTATAAATAGAGATCTCTGATTCGTGAGATATATATATATATATTTAAATAAACATTTTATCCAACAATTATAACACGTTAGATAAAATAAAAAGAAACGATCCAATTGTTACGAAAAAGTGTAAAAAAAAAGAAGGAACAATAAATGGACGTTCTCGCCAACTTCGAAAATCTTAATTGGATAAAGTTACGTGAAAAAATTCGTTGTTCCTATTTACGAAGTATGCACTCAAAAAAAGAAAGAAAAATAATGCCAAAACGAATCTCATCGTATACATACACACACAATTACACGCGTGTAATTATTTAATAAATTATTTTTTTTTGGCTTGCACGGAAGCGTTTGTAAAAAAAAATAAAATAAAAAACATTCGTCAGCCGTCTAGCCAAAAGTCATTGGTGCTTTGCATGAGCGTATTAATGGGTATTTTAAAATACCCCTAATTTTTAATTTATACACGATAAGTTTGTAAATGTAAGTGTAAATGTAAACGTACGATATTCTAATGTTAATAATAATAATAATAATAATAATAACACACCAGAAGGATTTATCTCTTTTAGTCGCGTTTTACGACAAGCTGGGATTACTGCGGTCTTATTATTTTTCCCCAGACCCGCAGGAAAATAATAAATAATAATTAAATGAACAATAAAACAAACATAAGCATTTCAATTATGCTCGTTGTTTTGCTCTCGTCGAAACACGAACGCAAGTTACCAATTATCTTGATTCTTATAGTATCGAGTTCTTCTAACTATACATGTACATTAGGGTGGTCCTTATTTACATCGTTTTGGAATTTTGTTGTTCTTCACCCTTTAAATATCTTCTAAATGCATAAACAAACATTACTGTAAATTTGGAGCTCTTAATTTTAATATTAACACACTCCTGAGTGTTGCCAAAGTTTTAAATGGAAAATACATGCAATTGTTTTCCATAACGTTTATAAAAATCATAACTCTGGTAAAGATTGATGAATCTGTTTGAAGTTAGGTACAGTTGTAGACTTAGGTATTTAGAACAATCCTTGAAAATTAAACATTTTTAAGTTCATTACTTCCTTATATACATTAAATCAATAAATATAAATATAAGTAACTGAAAAAAATAAATAAATGTCTTAAATATAGATAACAGTCTACCCTAAACTTCATTTCGTTGCCTAACTTCATGGTGTTTATTTTTTCGTGTCGCTGTGCGCGCGCATCGTACAAATTCACTCTCGTCATCTTTTCCCAAACGAGTCAAAAGAAGTATAACTTAAAAAAAAAAGGATTTTTGGATTGTTCCGAATAATATAATCTACAACTGTATCAAATTACAAACAGATTCATCAATTGTTACAAGAATTATGCATAAAAATTGCACGTATTTTTCATTTAAAACTTTCACGACTCTGGGGGGGTGTATTAATATTGAAATTAAAAGCTCAAAATTGACAGAAATGTTTGTTTATGTATTTAGAAAATATTTAGGAGGCTGCAAAGAAAAAATTCCAAAACGAATAAGGACCCTCCTATATATATATATGTATATTAAAATTGGATAATGTCAAGATTCACCTGGTGAACATCAACATGTACCAAACACTTCAGTAAAAGACTGAATATTTGAATTTATTCAAACAAATTAATATTTATAACAAATACCATGAACATGCAAGTCTTAACATTATCCAATTTCGGTCTTTCACGGTAACACACACACATATATATATATAGGATTTTTAATGAAATATATTTCGTTATATTTTTCTTCTTTTTTCTTTTTCATTTTTTTTTTCTTTTTTATCGTTAGCCTTTTATATAGTTTAGCGTACATCTTATATTGGTCTCCGTCGTATAATAGGATTTTTTTTGTTCGTGGACCCCATTTGCGCTTTCGGAGTATTTGGCACGGCACGGCACGTCACGGCACCCATTGACAAACTATAAAAATATGATGCTAAACAAAAGAAAATTGTGAAAAAAACCAAAACAAAAAAAACCATCCATATTTTCGTCTCTTTTGTTATACTTTTTTTTTTTTATATATACGTAATATTATTATTATTATTATTATATAATTGTTCAATATAATATAAATCAAAGTCTTCTCTAAAACAATATGTATACATATATATATATATATAACTTAAAAAATATAAAATAATGAAATATTACAATAAACGCACGATTCGCGTTTGATATTATATTTTCGTTTTTCGCTAGCAGTGCTTGTGTGGAAGAGGGATAAAATATATAAATTAATTTTATAAAGCTAAAGGAACCCTACGTGTTTTTTTGTTTTGTTTAATTCTTTTTTTATCGCATTATAAGATTGAATTTGGAAAAAGATAAAGTAACCGATTTTTCCATGTGCGCCTCCTCCTATTTTACGTAAATAAAATAAACGAAAAGTTTAATCAAATGTTTCTCTCGTGTATATATATGTATATATTAATCGTATATACTCGGCGCACGCGAAATTCTCTCACGTACACACACGCATCCATTCGAAGAAAACTAACAATAATACATTAAATATACAATTATCTCGAATATATATCATCATTCATCTGAATTTTTTTTTGTACCGATATATATATATATATATATAACAAATAATCGAACCTCTACACACTACTTTCAATGTTTTGCATAATCAATTTTTAGAAATGTTTCTTTTGTTTTCATTAGAGTGATTCACTTGTCAAAAAAAAAAACAAAAAAGAAAATGAGAGAGCTACTTTTTGTTTTTTTTTGGTTCTTTTCTTTCTTCGTCGATTATTTGCGATATTAATTAAAAAAATCCATGACTGGCGAATAATATATATAATATAATCGTACAATCTCTTATTCCTTTCTCTCGAGCAGAAAAACGAGTATTTATTTGTCTCCGTTGTGTGGAACACAACCAACAACTTTTTGGAAGAAAAAAAAGGAAAAATTAGATTAAAAAACTAAAAGATAACAAAAGAGGAAGAAGTAGAAATGCTCGAAATTAGTAATGAGATTCTGCATGGATATATTTTACACATATATAACACATTGAATACTACTTTAATTGGATGGGATATATAGGACGTATATCCCCAATTCGCAAATGACAATTAATTTCTCATTTTTTCCGTCTTCAAAACGGACTTTCTTTCGTTTGTTTGTTTGTTGTGTCGCAGTTAAGCTATTTTCGCAAAAAAACAATCGCCTGTAATACTCTTTATTGTCCACGATTATATATATTTAATTATTCTTTCTTTCTTTGCGTCTCCTCTCGGTTTATCATCATCATCATAATCATCGTCATCATCATCATTCCGATTATCGGCTCGAAATTTGTACAGGCTTTTTTTAAATATTATTTTTCATATATCCCTTTTAAGATATTACTACGCGACGTAAAATATGTCTGAGAAGAATTGTAGGCATCTTTTTCTTTCGATTCTGTAAAATACGTAGACACCCCTCCCCCCTTCCCTTTCCCTCTGCCGATGATCAAACGCATTTTAAATCAATAACTTTGATAATATATTATAAGTTAACATTCACATTCAACAGATATGTATCTATATACCATTGTACAATATAATAATGTGTGGACTTATTATTACATAAAGAGCAAAAAAAAATATATATATATATATAATATGCATAAAAAAAAGGCATATTTTGAGTGCCCTTTGAACGAACAGAAGGAGCAAACGCAATAAGAAAAAATTTGATGATGGAATCCTAATTGGAAAAAAAAAAAAGGATAAGGATAAAAAAAAGAAGAAGAAGAAGACTTACTAAAAGGAATTAATAAAAGAAGTTTCCTCTCGAGGCTACGAGTACTGCGATCTACATATCTCGCGAACAAGCAATCCCGCATTAACGGTAGTATTGCTTCTATAATTATTATAATGAAAATTACTTATTTACAATTGAATAGAGCTTTACAATCCATCTGAATGAATTATCATCGTCTTTCGTAAACTATATATCATGTCTCAACGTCGCTTTAAAGCTGCATTTTGCTTTCTCATTCCCCCCTCCTCCTTGTTAATCATTTCTTGTTCTCTCGTTTTTTTCGACAATGTATCGTTTTGACATATATTTTTCATATATGTCCAACAATCACGCGGCAAATCTTTCCTATGCATTTAGCAGTACACTGTAAATATCACCTGTACAATGTAATCACACGCTGCTTGCATCTCTATTACATATGTTACTAATGAAATATACATCTCATATATAAAATTCGTTAAAATTAATTAAAGATCAATCTCTAGTCATGCTTACATGGAAATTAAACTAATTCATCAACGCTCTCGATTATTCATCAAAAAGGATCATCACCCCACCTCATTACGTTTTCGACAAGCATCATCTGCTTTTTCTATTACATACAATATCGTCGTCGGGGGGAATTTACCAGCCATGGATTTATCCCGCGAAACTAAGCAGAAGAACAGAGAGAGAGAGAGAGAGAAGGAGAATATTATAGGAAGCAGAGAAAAAAAATGAATTGATTATAGAAATTTTCTATCACCGAGTTTCTTTTAAATATAGGAAAAATATCCAAACGAATGAAACTTGGATGATCTAATTGTCCTAACGCAAACTACAAACCTACTTACTTAAATCTTTGTATGCCATTGCATAAGGATGAAAACGAGATTAAAATAAAAGGTCTGAAGAAACTCGGAAGAAATGGACAACGCGATATAGATAGTTCTTAACGAGTGATTGCATAGGATGGCACTTGCGACATATGAGTGCGTGTGCTAACGAGAAAACTGATATGTTGCGTTAAACAACGCTGATACGATATTATGCATATATCGTTAAATTATTGAGGATTATTTTGGATTTCGTATGATGCTCGTTATATAAAAAAACGTATACCGCGCGCATACTCGCATTTTTTCTTTTGTACGGCACGAGTGTCTGTCATTCGCGCGCGCACGTACGCAACACACATATGCAATTGAGACACTCACACACTCACACACATACTTACACAGAGCAGACAAAGAACAGGACACACATAACAGACAGAAAATATAAACGGAAACAAGACGCTTTCATAAAAGAAAACGAAATGAAAGATCGGTGCGAATAATTATTTGCTTCCATTCTCTGCTTGACATAATTCGAACCCAAATACGATTTCGGACGTTGAGAATAACGTCTACGAACCCGACACGTGGAATTAGAAACTAAAGGTACATACGTTTACGTCTGTGCCGGAATGCTGAGTCTGATAAGATGGAAACGTCGCGTAGAAACGATAGACAAAGTACAATGATACCTTTTACAGTATATATATATATCATTGAACTTTTTTTTTGTTCGTTTAAACTTATTACTTTTCTTTCATTAATCTTTTATATTAATCTTACGTCCTAACGCTAGGCTGCTTAGGAAACCTCGTAAATTCTTTTCTTAAAACCATCTTCTTACGTGCCACCAAATATCTCTTGAGAGCATGATTTTCATGGCGTTGAATATTATAGCAATCAAAGATGTCTATCCGTAAGCTTGGGTATAACCGCACACGCTTCTTAACGCTTAATTATCAGTATTTTCTTTTTTCTGGCACAACGCGGTCGAGCATTACAAAGCGTTATCGTGCCTTCCCGCGACGTGACCATGAACTAGCTTCCTTCCTCGCTTCTATACACGCCTGCTAGGCCTTTTTAAAATTGATCCACTAGCAGGTCGCAGATCTCAACGGACATGGATTCTTTACTCGAGCGCACCGTTAATCGGAACATCTGAAGAAAGCGTATACAGTCATTCGTATAGTAACTAATTCAACAAAGGTTTAGAAAAATATCACAAAATATTACCTGAGCCTGTTTATTCGGTTCAAGACGTAATAAACATCCTACTTGTTGAGCTCTCATGTGAACAATACCCGCGCAAACGAAATTGTCGGGATTTGGATCGATTCCATCCAGCAACTGCATTCCAAACCCTTGCAATTTTGTACGAACCTGAACCAAATCCATCGGTTGTTGCGCTTTGAATATCTTTTGCGAGCGTTGTTGATTTGCACTGAAAATATACAAATATTTACTATATGTTCGTTTTATTTTTTGTTTCTTTCTTCATTTTAAATCTACCTACCCTCCAAGATTCTTCCATCGTGCAAAGAAAGATTCTCCATTCATTTCCGTTGGTTCGAAGAATTTATTTATCGTTAATGGTAACTTCATAGTAATTTTCTGCGGTACGTTGTTGTAAATAAAAGATATAAGCATACTAGGTGTGTCTGAAACAAAAGCAAGGTAAAATCATTAAGATTAAGCTAAGGTTACATTTCTAATAGAGTTAGATTGAAGAATAATAAGTTTATGCACCACTGTAGTCATCGATACATTCAGCATTGATCATCTGTTGAATTTGAGCACCAGCTTCCAAAACAGGATCGACGGGCTTAACCTGGACAGCCAACTTTGCTTGATTCTCTTCCGACCACGATAATTGTGGTTGAAAACTATGTAACGCGTATTGAGTTTTATTGCCGTAGAAAAGACCAACGCGTCCTAGATTCTGCCGGAATTCGGATTTAACTCCAATTTGAATCAAATCGTTCTCAAATAGTACTCCGTTGTTTTTACAAACGAATCTACAAGCCGATCATAAGTATATTGATAACTGATATCATATTATTCTATACAAATGATGATTTTTTTAAAATAACTCACTTTTTAGGATTGTACATATTTTGAGTACCGTTGGTCGCACCAACTTTATTTGGCATATTGTATATATCACCTAAGACGTCCAGTAGAACACCGGTATTGCTTGTTGGCTGAGACGAAGGTGGCGTCGACAAACCTAACAGATCTGCAGAAGTATTGTTAACTGCAGAAACTGCAGTAACTGATGGTGCTTCGACGTGATGATTGGTGTTTGGCGCTGGGCTCTTGCTTTCCCTTATTTCGTTCTCCGGTACGCGGCCAGGTTTCTTCTTCTTTAAAACTGCGAGAATCGAAGATTCTCGTTCTGGGAACGCAGGCATTTCTTCTAGTACAGTTGCCTATTTAATTTCACGCAAACATTTGTTATTCAATTTTAAATCTAAATGAAGGAATACACACATACGAATCTTTCAACATACCAATACATCGGTAGAAGCTATTATGCTTAATTGCAAATATTCTGATGCTCTTTGCTGAAGTTCGGCATCCGCGCTACGCAAGTTGCTGTGTTGTCTGAAAACGTCCTGGATTTGGGTCCGTATTTCGGGGAAGAGATTAACAAACTTGATGTAGGTAGATAACAATAACGCTCGTGTCATCGGGGAACACAAGTGATACTAGAATAGACATGAATATGTTATCAAGAAGAAGAATACATATTTTATAATATAAAGAGGTAGAGTACCTTGGAATGTAATAGTTGAAATTGTACGGATGGAGATGAGCGCTGATCACCAGCAATAAGGTTACCAAATTCTCCTAAAATGTATCCGCCGACTTTGACCATGTTTTCGTGACACGCCGGCGCTTGCAGAGCCTAAAATGTTTCTTGTTAAAGCATCGCGTATGGAAAAGATTAAAGTAGGAGTAATAAATAGTTCGATATTTACCTCAAAAACAGTTTTAGCGGCATATCCTTGTACGTCATCTCTGTTAATGACAATCTGTATAACTCTATACCAAACTTCTTCCGAGACATAGTCACCGGCTATCCTGATTAGATTTAGGATAACGTCAACGTACCAAGTATAATCTGTAGCATATTTCTCTGCTAAAATGGCTACCTTTAAAACCATTTCCTCTCTGATAGAATAATCCGCAGTCTCGAGATAGTTTAACATTTCTTGTACTATTTCTTCTGCATTACTCTTATCGCACATGGCATACAATAAGTCTACCGCTTGCTGCCTTACTGACACATCTTTTTCCATCTTCATAGACAATATCACTACCTCTTGATGTTTCTTCACAGCTTCGTGGGAAAATTCGGATGTGGCTAAATGGCACATAGACTCCAGTGCCAAATAACGTAGATTCGTTTCACGATTTGATAAAAATTGGCCCAATTGATTGCACGCGCGTACTAATAAATTTGGTTCGCTATCATTATGAATAATTAGACTAATAGCCTCAAAGAGAACTGCGTTCTTTGCATTAGAATGTTGTACTTTCTTTGATTTTGGTGGTTCTTGAGCTTTATTTAATATCGTTTCCAAACACTCGTTTAATCTTCCTCTGACTCCTGGATCTTCAGCTAAATATACAAATACAATTGTTAATAATGCCATATTATAAATAGGAATTTCTTTGTAACAATTTGTCAGAGATAATTGAATATTTTTCTACCTGGCGGTGTATAATTTTGTAACAATCTTAATAATTTAACAGACAGCCACGGAGCTGGCACGAAATAATAAGTATAATCTTGTAGATCTGTGTAATTCGACGTTACGATCTAAAAATATTATAAAAGATTCGTTATAATAATAAAGAATTAGTTTGACGAGCGGATTCTGCTTGAAATACATACTCTGCTTAATCTGGAAACTGCGAGACTAACGCAGCCTTTGTACTCGTCAGGATTTCTTTTAACGAGTGCATCTATCAACGATGCAGCTGCAGTTACAACACCAAGATGTTGATCGTTCAAAAGATGTACTATGCGAGATGTCCATTCTCCGCTAGGGACAACGTCAGGGGCAGTACGTAATAATCGCAACAAGCACAACGCTGCGCTTTGCTTAACTACATCCATTGTATCCCTGAAATAAAAATATATAAATTGTAATCCCATAAGCACGCGATACAACCTAGAGAAGAATGGAAAGTGCTTACTTACCCTGACACAAGTAACTTTGGAATTTCGTTACCAAATGCTTCTGCCATTTCTTTGCTACCAATATTAGCGATGCATTGCAACGCTAGATTTACATGAATTGGATTGCGAGACGCAAGATCATTTTTTATACTTTGGATTATTAATTTAATGAGATCACTATTGGTATTTACTAGAACTGATATAAAAAGATAACCCTGCAAATAATACATAAATATAGATAGAAAATATCACTTATAAAGCATTCTTATATTTAAATGTATATATATATATATAGTAGATTAATGCCACTTACAATTTGTTTTTCCGAATATTTATTAGAGGAAAGCAAGTTAACTGCTTCCATGTGCCCAAAATCGATATCATGACCGAGCAAGAAAATAAATAGAAGCTTGCACACATACTTTTTCTTCTGATATCCATCCAGCGTCTTATCACCTTTAAACTTGCTACGTATATTTGCCAATTCCTTGTTTATTCTTTTAATTTCTGCCTCTTTACTTTTACCTGAACAATTATTGCATTTTTCATGACATACATGCTTTACAATTAAAACAAAGATCCGTTTTATTAATCTCTTTTATATAATTTAGCAAAGATTTAAAAATGATATCTAATTAATGAAACTTTTGGACACATAATGATTACATAGACATTGTATTGTCATATATATATTTTTTTGAAAAGCTATAATGGCATTATGCCATTTGGCTGTTCATCAAGAGAGCCAAATATTGATTTATTTACAATCAAAACTTAAGCCACTAAATTTTGTTAGACAAATGAACATTTATAATAGGATAAATATATTATCATTGATTACTAACAGAAGTAAATAATAGAACATCTTAATTTGTTTTTAGGGCACATTATATCTTTCCTAAACATTATCAAAATCTTTTTATGCATCCGTGTTTAAAAGCAAAGCTATCAGTAAGATACTCTTATATCGGTTATATCAGGACTCCGCCCCCTGTCTCTTTACACATTTTATACGTCATATAAATTTCAATGGCATCGCATATCTCTCAACTAGTGCACCAATAACGACAGTTTTAGGAGATACATTCCATTTTTATTTCTAATCGCATTCGTCTGTTATAGCATGAAAATATATTAATCGTTGAACTCACAATTCCTAATGTCTGAAATAAAGACAGCTAATCCTCGCATGCCATCACCTCTAACAGCCGGCATCTTGCCTCCTTTTGCTTGAACCACCTGTAAAATCAAATATACCGCCAATGAGTATTCTTTGAGAGAAAATATCTGATGCAGTGTGTTCATTCATTTCGCATGCATAAGACAAAAATGACAGAAATTAAAGAAGATTAGGTAAATTTTCTATTCGTTCTATGATACCAATTTCATTTCTAAGCAATAAATCAAAAATACAGCTTCATACCTAATAAGAAAAGTATTCAAAATAATATGTACAGTTTCTGATTTTGACAGTAGTATCACTCTCGTTAGAATCTCACGTACTCAATAAAAACGATTAGCGGACAAAGGGAGATTCGTAAATCGTCGCGGTATCACTAAGAGAAGGAAGAGGAGGAAGAGGAGGAAAAGAAAAAAGGAAGAAGAGGAGGAAGAGCGGCGGAGGTGAAGAAATTGTGTCGCGAATGAAGTACGACAACGACGACGACGACGACGACGACGACGAAAAGGACGAGAATAGGACGAGAATAGGAGGAAAGAGAAAGAGAGATAGAAGAAGAAGCAGGCGGAGAATAGAATCGTCTGACGTATCGATCGAAGGAGAAAGAGAGTAATAGGAGTGTGTATCGTAGATATTTCGGCGGGGAAGAGAGACCGGAGGCAAGCTGTCTTTTACTCGACGCGCGCGGGGTAACGAGGATATCTGCCGTACGGAATAAATGTTGGCCTGTCTTGTAAGAATCCTCGATAAAACTCTTTTGAACGATCTGTCAGATGAAAGATAGAAATCGTTTATAAGAAAGAATACATACCGATCTGGGTTAAGGACAGCGTTCAAGCGCGGCTCGGTCGCGTAGTGCACGGTGAGCGTGAAACTATTCGCGAGTCGGTGCCAAAGATTTCGTGGCTGTCGCCATTTGCAATCGTTCACTGGTTGACGGCTCGACGGTAAAGAACAACGCGCATGCGCTATGGCAAGCGCGCGAAAAAACTTTATTCTTTAAATTGTTCGAGCGCGCGCCACTATTTTCTCGTCTAACTTTCTAATCGATTGGTCGATAGGACATGTTCCTCTAGTTGCTCGATCGATTATCTCTTCTCAAGCTAATTATTTTCTTTGATTAATTTATAAAAACTGTAGGAAGTATTGCACAAATAATTATTTCAACTAGGATTAAGTTCGTATTGTAATCATTACGTTCTGATCAGTCGCTCATCATTTTATTTCTTTTCTATTCTTTTGTACATTCATGAAAATAACGTTTAATGAAAATAATCTACGTACGAGCTAATTCAACTCGTAACACACATATACTTGCATCTAAATATATATAATTTAGATTTAAATATATTTTTAAATTTATAATTTACATAGTAATCCCATTGTTTTTATCTTGTTGTATTTTTTGCAATAAAAGTTCTATTCTCTCCTTCATCACGGGCTGACCCTTCTTCGTTTTCTTCGATAACTTTTTATACTTTTGCATTTTTTTCTCCTTGTATTTCCGTAAAGCTTCTTCCTTTTCCGTTTTTATTCTTAACATTTCTTCTTTCTTTCTTTTCTTATCTGCCTTCTTTTGTAAATATTCACTCCTTGCTATGTCAAAAAAGCTGAGACTTTTTTTTGGCTCGCTAATGCAATTAATAAAACATTAATAGATCAAAATTCGAAGCAAATTGGTTGAACTTTGAAGAGTTGTTGACAATTGTTTACATTTAATGATCTTACCTCGTTTCAGTTTTAAATTCAGATTTATTCTGCTGACCATATTCATCCTTGTGATATTGTTTATAAAAATCACGTAAAATAGCTAACGTTGTTCGTAGTTGCCATTTATCAACTATCAAAAATATATACATTGAAAGCATTAGAATCTAACCTAAAAATAATTAACGATCGCTAATCACGATGACTTATAATTCTTCCATTTTCTTACCCTTATATTTATTACTATACTTCTTCATTCTATATTTTTTCTTGTCAAATATCTTTTCACTTTTTGATATTCTTGAATCATTATTAAACTTATATTTATTTTCAACCTTTTTCTCCTGTCGCTGCATTGCGTCGTTTTTCATAACCTATGTAGATATGTATCCTAGTTTGATTAATTTTCGTTTATAAGTACCAGAAATTGCCGCCAGAGGGATTAAAATGGCGACAAGTGGCGCCTCAAGGGGCAACTATTCAAATGTCTTATTCTTGTTTGTGACTTTCTATAAGTAACATAGTCTATGATCATCGTTATCTTATTCACGAAGCTCCGGAATAAGCTCTAATTCGATGTAATGGTTCAATCTCGCCTCCTTACTTTATTCAATCTTATTAGATTTCAAGCCATTGCATTCGAAGATTATTCCCCGTTTTTAGGTTAGATTATTATCTTTTTCTAATATAGTACTTTCTTTTTTTTATTCATTTCGTGTTGTTATTTGTTCGTTTCTATTTCAGAAGAACAATGAAAGAGTAATAATTCTCAAGTAGAAGTACCTTTATATAAATGCTTTCAATTGTTACGTCATGAAATGAAGAAAGGTTAAGGTACTTGCGATACAATGATGCATTCTTGGCAACAATCCACCTTTCGCATTAGCACGCGCGCTAATATAAATACATATTACATGTATTATCTAGAAAGACGACAATTTATAGGTAAAAATAATAAAATAATGTTGATTACACAAGATATTTGTTGCAACGCGCAGCACCGATGTCTCTCGTTCGATAGATATCATCGATTTAAAATTCAAAGAAGGAAAATCGTTTGAACAACGTTAAGAGAAAAAGAAGATCAATAGAAATAACATTGTTGAGAAGGATTCGCTTAAAGCGTTTTACCTTTTGAGTAAGAATAATAATTGTATGAAATCTTTGTAATAAAGGATAACTCGTATCTAAATGAAGTTTAACCCTTTCAGATGTAAATGTGTATCTGCTGGTTACCAGGAATCTTTTCTTTGGAAGTGATCAAAACGTCAAATGTCGAAGGATTTCGTTAGACATTATGCTCAAGTTTGGTACGTCGAAGAAAAGAAGGAAAGCAACTTCGTGGAAGAGATAGCATCTCCTCGGTACGCGCCGAGAGTTATTAATAGCTAAGCAAATCCGACACAGCCCTAGTATCCGAGGCCAGAGACGTTCGAACGAATTCTTTAAGCGTTCAACGAATCTCTCTCTCTCTCTCTCTCTCTTTCTCACTATCTCTTGACCATTCTTTAACGATTCAATGTCGAGGATAGGAAGAAAATAGGACGGTTTCTAGAACTGTTTGTCTTATCTTCCTCGAAGAACGAAGATCTCGGTCGCAATAGATAATAGATCTGATCGGATTGGATGATCTTGTATGCAACTTTGGGATAGGCAAACAATTTGTAAACTTTCTTGAAAACCCTTACAACTAGATACGGTCATTCGTATCATGTGTAACGAATTCATGCTCTGTCCATATTAGGGACGTTGTGACTCGTTCTATCGATCAGCGTAACCCCCACATAGATGACGTCATGCGAGTCAAGTTCCCCCACGCAGAGAAAAGACAAACGTTTGAAGATTTTGCTAACTATGTTTAAAAGAGTGAGAAAAGAGAGAATGAAAACCGGTTTGCAGGTCTCTCTTTTCGAGCATTTACTTTGGACCGCAAGCTTCGAAGATTCTGACATTGACACAGTTTAATCATCGGCCTTCCTTTTCTCGACAACTTATTTCTTCTTTTAGCGACCTTATCTGTGTGATGTAGTGTGGTCACACATTATATATGACAACACGTTTATAATGTCTACGTTGGCCGACGACTTACGTCATTTATGACATGCATTTTTAAATATTTCAATCAAATTAATCAAATCTTATAATTCTCCAGCTGATCTAGTAATTCGTAATCGTTGATTTAGATTGATTTGTCACGTTAATTATTAAATGATAGAATTATATTATCTAGGTTCGTTAATATCGATCCGAAAGCTTTTGATAGACCGCCGTAGTCTAAATAGCCAATTATCAGCGTGAAAATCGAATTATCCGCGACTAAATCTCGTTAAACTCATTCACGTTTCGCGGGCGAGTTGCCAAGGAATTCGAAATGCCGAAGGAAAAGCGATGTAAAAATATTTCACGGTGTGTTTCGAAAGAAATATTTTCGTTCGAATGAATCGATCTTTAGTGAATAAGAGAGTCTCTTTAATATTTGACATCGTTTTACCATCGACTGGCACAATCACCTCGGAATCTAATCGATTTTTAAAAAGAATTCCGCGTCAGCACCCGATTAGATAGAACATTATTTATAATTTCTATTTATTATTTCCTTATTAAAAGGGCACTTCAATAAGGAAACGATTGTAAGATGTATTAGTCATCGCATTTCTCTCGGTATTCAATGAGTCTCTTATCTAATTTTGAGACGATGTTTCAACTACGCCTACGAAAATCTACTTATTTACGTTCTGCATTCGCATCTTGTGTTTTTTTTTCTTTTTTATATTAATAACAATCGATTGGAAAGTATATATTATTGATACATTAGGGTTGAGTCATAAGTTACTTACGTTGCAACTAAATGTTATTTAACGAAAGCAAAATAAATGTCTAATAATAAAAAAAAAACGAAAGTTACACTTATGACTTAACGTAATATATTAGCGCAAAAATATGCATCAGGGGTTGCGTATTTTATGCACATCCATTTGAAACGGAATTTTGTACTAATTAATGAAACACGATGATTAATTACAGTAACGTTAATATTATTTTCCGGACAATCGAAATTTGAAGTAAACTTTCAAAATGAAATGATTTAAATATCGAGCGCGTCTAACTTCGAGATATATCGATATTCGATAGGTCGAGCCGCGTGTTAGCGAACGATGATAGCCGAGAGTGGGCGAACAAAACCGAAAGGAGCCGAACGTTTCAATGATCTTCGCGTAACTATTTAAGGAGTTGGGAGTAAGCCGCGCTCATTCCTAGAACAAACGTCGAAGGGTACGGTTTTTGATTCATTTTTTTTTTCATTCATCGTTGCTCGCGATTACTAATTTACAAGTTTTTCTAACACGTGTCTTGAAGAATCTCGATTATATCAAGTAGCATCTTTTCGAGTGGATCAGTGAAAGGGAAATAAAGAAAGAAAGAGAAGAGAGTAGAAGATAATAAAAAAAAAAAAAGATAAAAAGAGATAGAAATATCAAGGAGGAAGAGAGAGAGAGAGAGAAATAAAGAGAAAGAATAGATTATAAGTTTTGTGTACACGGAACGAAGAAAATATGGCCGATAGTGGAATTAAGCGCAACATTCCCATCAAGTTGGGTGACTTTAGCGTCATTGACACCGAATTTTCCAACATAAGGGAACGTTTCGATGCCGAAATGAGGAAGATGGAGGACGAGATGTCGCGATTTCGCAGCGAGCTCATGAATCGCGAAAGCAATTTCTTTAAGAGTACCACCAGGTCAGTTTTTTTTACTTTACATATAATATAATTTGCGTATACTTTGTATTACAATATATATATTCTAAGTTCATTTTAATATTTGATAATTTGACACAAATAAGGGAATTGTGAAAGGGCAGCGGTACTACAGCACGTTGACATTTATAATCTAGGACAGATCTCGATTATAACATTAATTAATGTTCTTGTTTAAAATACTTATCAATGGGTCGTAATGTTCTGAGTAGATAATTATCCAATAGAGATAGAGAAACGGTCAAGGTGTTTAAATAAAGACGAAGCAAAAACGATACTCGTAAATATTTACTACGTTATATGATCAATCATTATTACGTATTAGCATTGTACCGTGATATGATCACGTTTTCTTGTTAAAATTCATACGCGATTGGTCAGAATCGTCGAGGGATCGGTACGCATTTCGATTTCAAGATTTGTCACTTCTTTTATTTTTGAAATATTCAAAATGACGTTCGATTTTTCAATCATACCATCATTTTCTTTCTCATACTCTTTCTCTTCCTCTGCAAGGCTTACATAGGTCGGGGTACGTTCCAGCTATTTTTAGATCTTCCGTCACTGCATTCGAAGACGCAACCCAAACTCAGCTTCACGATTTTCAATCTTGTATTATACGGGATAACGTGGGAGTTATGTACAGTACACACGTGTGAAAGAAAAAGAAATAGGGTGAAGGGAAAGAGGAAATGAACAAAAGAGACGCGTACAGATGTCCTCCCTTTTTCCACTTTAATGTAAGACGGATCGATACGCGCGTGTTTGTGTGTCTGTGTTTTATGACGAGACAGTAATTTGTAGGACAACATTACAGCGAATCGTTAAAAATACTTCCTCGCGTGTCACCAGTTGTAAAATAAATACATGATTGATGTTAAAAGTATTCTATACCCTTTTTGCGATTAACCAGAAATGGATTACCCATTTCAATCCCATTTGAAAAAAAGGACCCTTAACTAGAAAACTTTGCATAATACATTAAATGGATGGAATCACCTTTCGCGAGTCCCAGGTGTGCCTGAAGAGCACTTCCGTTGTCGAATGCATCGTTTCTCGCAAGACGGGTCCCGATACTGAAGTCATTTCTCGGTTGGTGTGTCCCTGACAGTGGTAACACGTTGCATGTTCATCAGAAATTTTTTTCCCCCACTATCTTTTCGTACGATCAAGCATCGGGAGTTGGTACGACACACGGATGGACCGAATACTATGCGCAATAGTTTTAACGTAACCTTGCAATTTGACGTATGCGTTTTCTGCTTATCGCTGTACACAATTTCTTGTTTTTCTATTATAATTATTGGTTTATCCACGCGACATAATGATTTTTACTCAACGCGACGAAGATCTTTATCCTTCGAGGCATAAAACTGTCATCAAGTTACGGTAGGTTATGAATTTTAAAAGCCGAAAAAACTGTAACAATGTGTATCGTGTTTTAAGGTTGCGTGAACAAATGATTGATGAGGTAATTGGGTTTTAAATAATTGCGTCAGAAAAACTTTGAAATCGATAACGAATACATTGTAACCTTTCTCGCTAGATATTTTTTGCGATTATAAACAAAAGAATAGTTGAAAAAACAGTCGAAGTAGTTCTTCTTCGTGCAGGCCAATAAGTTCGTTGAAGTTCGTTCAAGTTCTAAATTGTTAAGTGCAACGTGTTATAATTGTGCTTCCTTTCAACGTCTGAGCTTTCATTGACGAGCCGTCAGAAGTTAACCCCAGCTTTTAACAATTACCCCACTCGAGTAACCATGCACGATGCGTGCTGAAGAAAGATTAGCTCGCACGAACGAGTCCTGTCTAACTATACATAACTTCCTATAGATTTTACTCAATGAGGGACTAATTCCTCTACTTATCTTACCATATACATCAAAGATATTTCATCGCACTATCGTTTAGGAGTTTGTTTTTTACAGCAAGGAAGATAAGAGTTCTCACCCCTTTCGCAAATCTTATTTTAAGAAGAAATATCGAAAGAATTTGCTTAAAAATATGGATCAAAGATAGTTCGATATCGATATCGAAATGCGTCCTCGACATCGTCGATTCCTCCTATCGGATTTTGAAAGGAAAATAAAAAAGATTAGACGTTAGATATCATCTCGAACGATATACCTAAATTTGGATTATCATTCGAAAGTGTTGTTCGTGAGAGATATTGCAATAACGCGAGAAAGTGCGATAACCCGCAATAACTTGGCTCTACTGATAATCCGAAAAACTTGAATAAAACAAATCAAACCAAAAAAAGAAAACTAACCCCAGCAACAACGAGAAATATTTAAAAAAAAAATAAAATAAACCACGCTATTAATTAATAATCTTCCCAACTTTTATTCCGTTCCTTAATTCCCCTTTTTCTCTGACTCTATTTTTTGTCTTGCTTTATTTCTCCATTTCCGCCTGAACTCTATCTGCATTGGCACGCGTTGGGTGACTAACAACGACTACAACAACAAATGTGAAGTCGGCATCACACGAGCAGCAGCGAACACAAAACCTCGACGACCTCAAAGTTGGATGGTTGGGACAAGGCCGACCCTACGGCATCATCGGCACGATCAGCGTTCGATAACTTTAAAAGGTGAACTTGCTTCGACAACAACAACAACAACAACAACAACCACGACGAATGCATCCAAGTGCATCGGCCAGGCCAACGAAAAAGAAAATAACCAATGTTTTCCAAGAAAAAAACCATTTGATGTCACCCATACCACCACCCAGTTATACTCGTAGAAGCTACACACTCGTAGAAACCCTTATTCCCGTTTCTTAATTCCTTTGTTTATCCAAAGCTTGCTGCTCGCAAACTTCATGTAGAACGTAGTAGAAACCTAATGTATTTATTAGATTGTACTTTTTTTTTAAATAACATGTTAGTCCTAGCGTTTTATTTCTTATAGTAATAGTTTACTGCGTTCACGATCAATTTATAGATTCACAATTCCGTTCATCACGTTTGGAAGAAAAAAATATAAAAAGAAAAGGAAATTATTTTTCTTCCAATATGTTGTATATAGATATATTATCTATCCTATTGGTTTATACGTTCATAATTGCATTTTGTCTTCGTTTTCGTCTTCGTCTTCATAGCACAGTGATCGTACATTGATCAATTAGGCAGGCAAATTGTACATCTTCATCTCTTTGTATTTTTCCTTTTGCATTTTTCCTCAATGTACTCTGCATTATCATCGTAGGTTATAAAAATTCATAAATGTGAAGATCGCTGTCCAACTTTGGCGAGCTTAATCGAATCGAAAAACTATTAAAAATATTTCGAAACAAAATATTCGCTAAATTATGTTGTGAGTCAGTTGGACAGTTGAATCTGATTAAACTTCAGCCAAATAGTTTTGTTCTACTCGTTGTTCGTTTCTTTTTCATTACGTTATTTGTAATAGGATTGATTAATAAGATTCTAATCGTTGATTTCGTTTGATAAAATTTCAGTACGACGACACAACAGAGCAGCCAGAACAGCTCGCTGAGTCCTCAACATGATTCGACTTGGTTGGATGGTCTTAACAGTCCTCTCATACAGGATGAGGGTGACAGTAAAATGTTGAAACTACGATTTGACGTGTCTCAATACACACCCGAAGAGATCGTCGTCAAGACCGTGGACAACAAACTATTGGTGAGTTTACCCAACCGTATTTTCAGCCTAAAATAATCTTCTTAGGGTGAATCAAAAATTCCTACATTGAAATTGGGTGAATTTTCACAATGCGCACGCAAGCGACAGAAAAATTTAACAGAATGAAGTTAGTCGACAAACTGAATTTTAGGTAAACTGTTATATCTATACATCAAGACATTTATTGTTTTATTTATGTGTTTTGAAGTTATTTAATTATTACATACGGTGGTGATTGATATTAAATAACTGTGAATATTAGTATAAAAGCTTTTTTTTGAGGTTATTTGAAGTTAACTGTGTGAAGTTTGTAATTTTATTAATAATGAAGAGGAGATTAGTTGTTGTAAAATTTACTTGGGACAATATTAACTTAAAAATATTTGTTTGTTTCACCCTAATAGTTTTTCAAATGAAAGAACTTCGACGTGAAAAATTATATTAGGCTGACTCATGGATACCGGCGCGAATGTTTTACGCAACCCTGCTGCAGTTTGGCAAGATGCAAATCTGGTTCAGTGTTTTTGCGCAATTGGCGCCAATATTATTAGTTTGGCTAATTATTATTAAAACCATATAGCGTCCAATTGTTTATATATTAAACGTGTTAGTATCTAGTCGTTATATTTTGGAATACTTTGGAGGAATATTTGTTGAGTTCTTTGCGAACGACCTGGAACGTTCTAATTACATTTGCTTACGTCACTTCCCGTCCGGGGAAACTCAGATCACAAACTTGTGCTTTGTGTTAGGTGTAGAAGAGGAGTACAATGCATCTAGCAGAACGAACGATACTTTGTTTCATTAGATACGCTAATTATATTAGAGCTTATCTATCTAAACGAATACTTTTGAAAATATTCTTCTGGTCATAGAAGATGATAGAGATTTCGAGAAAAGACGGTTTTCTTCTTCTTCTACTTCTGCTTCTTCTTCTGCTTCTTTGGCCGACGTTCTCGCTGAGGCTTAGGATAAAAATAACCGCTACCAAAAATATATTTTATGCCAACCCGTCACGGCGAAGAAACCAGGATAATATTCGACCATTATATGAAGAGTTATTTCTCTACTAAAATATTAGAAACAATTCCCGTTTACTTATTCTTCTTCTTCTTCTTTTATATTTTTCTTTTCAACATTTCTTTTAACCTGTTATATATCTTTATTTCGATCTAACATTTTTTTCTCTATTTTATTTTTTTCTACCATGATAAGAACGAAATTATTTTCTTATTCTTCTATCATTCATCTTAGAACGTATACACGCATGCGATAAGATAATAAGAAATTATTAAAACAATCAAATGATCGATTCCCCTTTCTATCTGCTAGTTATCTTATTTATAAACATAAAAAAAATAATTAAAAGCGCTGTGAGAGAAAGATAGACGTATCGTTTTTACAATTAGGAGAAAAATATAATACGATGTCGTTATGCAAACCCACGAGACCAAGGTCATTGCACTGTTTCTTTTCTATCCCTTTTTTTCTCGCTCGATAAAAGGTCTCTCCTTGACTTTAATTTAATTTAATAATCAAAATTATCCTCTCTCGTATTATTATTATTTTAAAATAAGATTCTTTCTACATTTGATATACTTTACATGAAATAAAAGCAAACGCAAAACGATATCGTATCTTTTTACATTGAGTTACGTCATCCGTCATCGAAGCCAATTCATCATCCATTCCTTTTGTAAATGCAAACGAGAAGGTGCCCAGCCTCATTTTTTTTTCTTCTTTCTTCTTGTTCGAGCTTTGGATAAAAACAAAATGGCCGTTCGAAATCGATCTCACGATTCGACAAACATTTTAATCATTTTCTCTATACGTGTCTTCTTAAAAAGAAGGGGACAGGATGGATTGCATACTCGAAAGCAGGTTGCTGATTTTAATCGTGGTCAAGGACCAATTTATTCAGGTTGAAAAGGCCTCGGACAAAGAACACTGTCCTTAAAAGGCCCCTTGTTGCATATCAAGGACGATTAAACTGAACGTAATCGCAGATAAGTAGTTCATTTTTATTTTGCATCGTGATCAGGGAAAACAAGAATACTTTGTATGTGTTGTTTTTCTCTAGAAATAGAAGATAGATTAAAATGAAACAGAATTATCCGAGTCGCAAATAAAAGATAGAGAAGAAGGGACGGAAATATGTAAAGAGAAACTCTCGCGATGACTCATCAATGATCCGTATTTAGTTACTTATGTAATTCCAGCACGTCTCTGAACCCAACCAAGATATATTATATATTTATTACACTATAGTTTACAAAATTGTACTTTTTATCTGTTTACGTGAATTTTATGATTGATATAATGTTCACTTATGACCTGTTTTAGTCAAATCTAACTTCAACAATTTCTGTGCAACTCGAGTTATTTTGTTTTCGATTTTTATCATTTATGCGTATTTATTAATCGATAACGTGTGTATTTTAATGTGTTAAAATTAATATCTGAGAAAAAATAGAACTGATAAAAAGATTCTAATTATATATTTGAAATCTGTATAACAGCTAAACATTTTTTCGGCAACAGATGTACTCTGTAAACTAGTGTCATATATATTTATATTATTTATCAATTGTTGAGACGAAAATGAATGGCTTGAAATTGAATAGAATCAAATGGAATCGATTGAAATACGAAATCAAAACTGACCCCTATCATATTTGAAAATAGAAATGCATAAAAAATACATGATGATCGAACGGTTAAAAGTATGATACACTGATATACAGTGCAATAGTTGGTAAGACGATATTTAAATGGAGGATGAGCTTAAATTACTAGGTTTCACCTAGTCTAGTAACTTCACGTTTTATCTACATTTATATTCCATTCTAGTTGCTAACTTCTAAGATTACATTTAACGTAACTCTGTTTTAAAAATAATGAAGAACAAACCGATTTTAATTCGAGTCGAATGTACAGCTGGGGGATTCTTTTTCGATTTGTTTTAACGAACGAAAAAGAGACGAAAATAGATCGAGAGTTAGAGAGAGAGAAGTCAAATTTAAAAGTAGAACGTATTCTTGCGCGAAGACAAGGTGAAGGCTGCGTTCCTTGGCACCAGATTACTTTTAGAGAACCCTAATCGCGAATTGGTAAGATTAGTTAGCGCCTTTTTTATATAACAACACACCCGTTAGAGTGAAAACATTATCGCATTGTCCTCTCAAGCGTGTCCTCCTATGCACCTGCATTTTTTTTCTATTCACTTTGAACCCACCTCCTTTTCTTTTGACGAGAGATAAATTTCATCACCCGGCACACCTCCCACCGAGTCAGTCATTGTTTTTCGATGATCCTCTTTTGATCGTCATCGAACCGAATAATAAATGTTCATCTTCTAATCGAATTCTTTGCTTCGACACGCATGGAAACATTCATTTCCTTGTTTAAGTTATTTACTCTTTAGAGACTTTAGAAAGAATTGACTATAGTTTATTAGAATGAAATCCGCGTGTTTTCTATACACGTCGATGACGTTACGATAATAACCGTGAACCGATGACATAATCAAAGATTTGCAAGATTGAAAGACCAGTAACGTTGCACATTTTGTTTTCTTTAATGTTAAATTATTAGTTATTTTACGTATAAAATTGTGTTAATTGTTTGGATTGTAGAAAGCTTTCGAGGAAGCACCTTTTTCCTATATTTCTCGTATATCGATTCGAGTCATAGTTTGCTTGGGTTGTTTCGGCTTGGGTCGCGTTAACTCGGCCTTCGTCGGTTTTCTTTCTTTCTTTCTACATATATGTTTATATATGTGTATGCAGTTAAACCTTGGATTGCGAGTAACGTGGTTTACGAGTGTTCCGCAAGACGAGCACAATATGTTAATTTGATGAACAAGCATGATGACTTGCTTGCAATAAAGTAGAAACAAATTAGCCGATGCAAAGTATTTCTTTCATTTTATTCCCATAGTAAACGAAAATTTGTTTTTCAAATTTTGCGGTAACTCGTGAGATTGTATTGAAACTATAAACCCTATGGGCCCTGTGAAAAATAGGAAGAAGAAGAACGAGAAAGAAGGTATTAAAAAGAAAGAAATAATGACGATAGAAATAAAAAAGGAAATCATCGATAAACATAATCGTGGTATGCGTGTAGCAAACCTAGCTAAATATTACAACAAATCAACGTCAACGATTTGTACAATATTGAAGAGGAAAGAAGAAATAATGGGATTGGATGCAGCTAAAGGTGTTACGAGAATATCGAAACAACGGCCACGCGTTTTGGAAGATGTTGAAAAATTGGTTTTACTGTGGATAAACGAGAAACAATTAGCAGGTGATATTGTAACTGAGAATTTGATCTGCAAGAAGGCTAAAGTTTTGTATAACGATCTCGTAAGTAAACTGCCAGGTACTTCAGCAGAAAACGAAGAAAGTTTCAAGGCCAGTAGGGGATGGTTTGATAATTTTAAAAAACGTAGTGGGATTCGTACTGTTGCGAGACATTGTGAAACTGCGAGTTTCAATTGTAAGGAAAGTCAAATGTTTGCTGACGAGTTTCAAAACCTAATTGTTTCGGAGTGTTATCTGCCACAGCAAGTTTTTAACTGCAACGAGACCGGACTTTTTTGGAAAAAGATGCCTAAAAGGGCCTACGTTGAGGTAGAAGGGCAAACAATGACTATGAAAGACCGTCTTACTCTTTTGTTCTGTGCTAATGCAAGCGGTGATTACAAAGTCAAACCTTTACTAGTCTATCATTCTGAGAATCCGCGTGCTTTCAAAAAATGCAAGCTGCAGAAGAATCAATTAAAAGTTATGTGGAGATCAAACAGCAAAGCTCGGATCACTCGTATTTTATTCGTTGAATGGATCAATGAAGTTTTCGGTCCTACAGTGAAAAAATATCTATTAGAAAATAATCTACCGGTCAAAGTTTTGTTAATTATGAACAATGCTCCTGGTCATCCTTTAGATCTGGAAAACGATTTATTAAAGGAATTAGAATTTATTAAGATCAAATTTCTACCAACTAACATTACTTCGTTACTCCAACCCATGGATCAGCAGGTTATTTCTAATTTTAAAAAACTTTACACGAAAGAATTGTTTCAACGTTGTTTCGAGGTAACCGAAGGAACAAACCTTACTTTTCGAGAATTTTGGAAAAATCATTTCGACATCGTGAATTGTCTCGACGTCATCGATAAAGCTTGGAACGGGGTCACTAAGGATGTCCTTAATTCTGCTTGGAAAAAACTCTGGCCTAATTGCGTTATTGAACGTGATTTTATTTATGAACAGGAGTTGCCAATTGTCGATGAAATTGTATCTTTAGGAAAGACCATTGGATTGGAGGTGAATGAGGATGATATTCAAGAATTGATGGTGGAGGAACATGAACAGGAACTGACCACCGACGAATTAATGGATCTGCATCGTGAACAACAACAACAACAAGAGATTATGGACAATATTTTGTCAGACGATGAAGAGGATAATACGATGGAGGAATCCCTCAGTTCAAATAAAATCAGGGAGATGTTAACAATCTGGGAAACGGTGGAACATTTTGTTGAAAAATATCACCCAAACAAAACTTCAGCAATGCGAGCAGTAAATCTTTTTAACGACAACGCAATGTTACATTTCCGTCATATCCTCGAAAGGAGACAAACAAGTTAGGTTTTCTGTTACATTATCACCAAAAGAACATGATTCGAATGAACCAATAGACAACAGTGCTCTCGTTAGTGATACTGAAACTTGTTCCACTTGATAACGTTACTCATTTGCATCCCTTTCTCATCTTTTGTCTACCAAGCACGATTTTTTGTTTAAAGGTACAGTGCGAATTAATTTATATTATTTTATATGAATTTCTTATGGCAAAATTCGCTACATGCTTTGAATTGCTAATGCATTTCCGGAACGAATTATACTCGCAAAACAAAGTTTCATCGTATATATTCCGAGCTTTCAGTACTTTTCTATTCTTTATCATTACTTACATGTATTGTATACATTTATACACAATTCTAGCTTTATTACGTTAATATAAATGTTATATAAACCAGGATTACCTTTTATCCATCTTTATCTTTTAAATATATACACCATAGGAATCAAAGTAGATCTACATATTCGTTTCCATCTTTTTTAGATTCTATTTTTTCTTTGTCAAAGTATACTGAAAATGAAATAATTAGATAGATAAAATATATGCTCGGTCTGGTGAAATTATCTCAGTATATACTGACCTACGTTCCTTTCATGCAAGTAGATTCTTAGAGTACATAGTTGTTGGTCAGCCAGCGAGAATGATTCATTGTCACGACGCGACACGACAAATAGGTCAACCCATTCCTCGCGAATCGTCTAGCTAGTATTTTCCTAGCAAACTATTTTTATCAAGCTTTTTAACAACGAGGTTATATCCCATAAAATAAAACTAAGAGAAAGAAATATTGGAAAGTAGAAAATAAAAGAGAAAGAAGAAATATAGGTCGAAGGTGTGTTTAGCTTGTCGTTTAGCTTGAAAGGACTAATAAAGCAAACATACTATAGAAAACTATACAGCGATCCTTTATTACTGATGTCACGCAAACCCAAATGCAGAAACATTTTCTTTATTGATTTATGTTAATCTACAATCAAGATTTGTTTTTTCTTGTTTTCCTATTTCTACAGTTTCGTTGGATGATATAATAAATGATTATGATTTTGTAGGTTCACGCCAAGCACGAAGAGAAAACTGAAAGCAAATCCGTCTACAGGGAATACAATCGTGAATTTTTGCTGCCCAAAGGAACGAATCCAGAAAGCATCAAGTCGTCGTTGAGCAAGGATGGTGTTTTAACCGTTGAAGCTCCTCTACCGGCTATTGGTTCTGGCGAAAAATTGATTCCCATCGCGCACCAATAAAAATTCTTCCATCCAACCCTCCACCTCTCCTTTCTCTCGTCCGAAATTCATACGACCTATTATATTATCCCAAAAGAGCTTTCCTTCAAAAGCTTTTTACTTCTTCCATACCGAACAACAACAGAAAGAAACGTTGCGAAAAAATAAAAAGAAAAATAAACACTCGCCACCTTTCTACACCTAAAATATAATCCCAATACGATTCAAAGTCATCTGATTTTTTTTAACACTTCTTTTTTTTTTTTTAATCAACTTCAATGATCAAGAAACAAACGATTCGACCTAACGCATGTGTGTGTAATCTTTTTTCGATGAATTTATAAATGTTTTCTGTAAAGAAAAAATACATTTGCGCGCAAAAACAAAAAACCGAAAAAATAAAAAAAAGTGATGGAACGTGCAAAAGATAAAAGATATCAAAAAGTATAGAGATAATAATATTACTAATTATATTATATATACACACGCGCACTCGCACGCGCACATATATATATATATATATATATATTATATATATATTGATATTTGTAAAAAACAAAAAAACAAAAAAAGGAAAAAAATGTTTTTAATTTTTACGCGTAAATTGGATTTCTTTGTTTGATACGATATTATACACTTGTAATACTCTGAGGAATAACGCATTAATTGCTTAGCATGAGAGATATGCAATGCCTTTGACAAAGTATCTCTTTTTATTTTACATTATTTTTTTGATTGCGTATTCGTACGCACGTATCCTCCGTAACCCGCTTCGAAAGCATTGGTATACGTGTTGTTTTTTAATTTTGCACCACCACCACGAGCTTGTACGTGTAAATGGAAGATGATCGATTTCTTGTATCGATAACTTATATACTTGTTAGTTTAGATGTACGTTAAAAAGACCCGTAACAACGATGCTTAACGTAATTTAAAGTTTATTATGATCAATTATTAATTATTATTTATGAGTATGTTAATCGTCGAAGGTAACGCAAGAATATGAAAGTTTCGATAAAAATAAAAAAAAAAAAAATAAAATTAAACACGCACGACGAATGTAGTAAGTGATATATCTCTTCTTCTTCTTCTTTTATTTTTTTTCAACATCTTTTATTTAACAAAAAATATTCTGTCGCTTTGTACAGAGAGTATTTGTATATGCGAATATAATTATATTCTTAGTACCATCGTACCATCCTTAGATAATTCTTACACTGTCCCTTTTACTTTTCTTCCTTTTTCTTTTCTTTTCTTTTTTTCTTTTAAATAACACCTTAAGAAATACATACTAATTTACATCGTAAAAAAGAACAATATTAAACAACGTGATAATGATTGATAATGTCCAGTAGAACATATTGAAGAAACGAAGATAGTAGCGTTTGATCATCGATAAAATTAGCTAGACACGTTTTCTTCAATAACTTATACTACCATTTATTATTTCGCGAGTATTACGATACGAATGATAAGAGATACGTTTTTTACGCCTATCCTATTTATTTGATTTACTCCATTCCGGTTATTTCTAAAGCTTACAGACGATTCGAATTGACTTTTTTTCTCGCAGTGCTTTTCTTCTTTATCTATTTATTTTGATTAGAAAATAGAGAATTTTGGTTTGATACAGACCTCTCTTTCTCTTTTACTTTTTGGCATAGTTGTCTACAAGATATTTTTTTACGTCTAGACACAATAAAATAACATATAATAAAAAAATCATTAAATTAAATTCTTGATTAAAATCGACAATCGTCGAATGTTTAAAGAAATTTAGTTAAGTAAAATAAAAAATAAATGTCGGATCCTAGTCGGGTCAATTAGTTTCTCTTGATAAATAGTGTATAGAAATGTAGAAATGTCTTGATTTCATAGACCCGGTATCTCTGCAGAAAATAATGGTGCATCAGCCGCCGTGAAGGTTGGAGATTTTCCTTCCCTAGCAATGCGTAAAGCTTGATGCACCGATACGGTATCCAACTCTTTTTGATTAGGTTTTTCATTGTCGAGACAAATATCAACAGCTCTCTTTCCAAAGGGCTCCAAGACTTTGACTCGGTAATCTACTATAGTCGATACAGGATTCCCAGTCAATCTCAAGTCTTCGAGACAAGGCAAGTGACCGATATTTTTAACCTCTTCGATTTTTTCTATACGATTGCAACTGACATCGAGACCTTCCAAAGAGTACAACTTGGAGAAACTAGCCAACGAGGTTAATTTATTTTGCGACAAATCTATGTAGACTATGTAACCTAGTTTAGTATGCAAATCATCGGGCAAGGTAGTAAAGTTATTCGACGCTAGATAGATCTGAGACAATCTTGGTAATAACGTAACGTTGGATATCTCAGATAAAAGATTATTATTTAAAACGAGAACTTCTATGTGTGGCATCAGTTTGATAGCTTCGTCTATGACTTCTATTCGATTGTCACTTAGATCTAAGTGAGTTACCTTTAACCACACGTGAGAATCATTCGCGTTGTTTATATGTTTGTGAACTTCCTCGCACATTGCAAGCTCGACGATATTTCTTAGCTTCGTGTTCGTAACTCTGAGAACTTTAACGGTATCTCGAACGTTTCCCATATTATAGATCTTATCGACGGGATATCGGTCTATCGTTAATTCTTCGATATTTTTAAAACTCGACAATTCAATGGATAAAGAGGAGGAATAAATGTTGCTATTTTTATACGGCTCGGTACTACCTAAGATTGTCAAATTACTCAAATGACTATTAAAATCCAAAACGTGACTAAAGTCATACTTCTTATCTACGACCTCCATGATAGGACACGGATGTTTTAATCTTTCGCTGATCGCATATAACTGAAAGAGTAAGTATATTATAGATTAGTTTGACTTATCGCTCAAACTTTATTCCTGCAAATACATTGAAAGAAGAAACAAACTTTACTTACTTCTACTGGATTAAATTTGTAACTTTTAGAATTCTCTAACAAGTTACAGCCTTCGGTGAACAATTCCATTGCCATACTTTGTAATAAAAAGAATATATCATAGATGTGTAGATCCAAGAAGACGGCCAATTCCCTGGGCATAGCTTTCTTCAAATAATTGTACACTGCGTTCAAGTATTTTTCCAAACTGACCCTGCGCTTCTCCACAAAGGCTTCGCATTTATTACCGATTAGTTTTTTCGGTGGTAAGATATCCTTTTCCACGCAGTGCTCCATAACCAATTTCTCATGAAGCTCCACAAAGTCGTTGTACCTTTTAAATGTAAATTATTATCATCTTTAACTTTGCAAAAAACATTTGTAGCATAAAACATATCGCTGATGCGACATCCAAAGGTGCAACTTTAAAAGCAGCCCGATGAAGACAAATGTGAAAGGAAGGAAATATAGACAGACAGACAACTATGCACTCTGCACTTTACACTTAATGCTTTACCTGTGTTTCACAGTCCACTTGACGGAAACTACCTTAACCTCGATGCAGTAATAAGTGATACCATCCAAGGTGTCAACCGATGGTATTTTAATATTAACATTTTCCTGATTCAAAAGGAGACACGCCATTACATTTGACGAATTGGACAAAGTTCTTGTTCGAGAAATGACGTTTAAGTTGATTTGATTGAGAGGTTATCTCACTCGGCCGGACTTGAAATCACTTCGATATCAAACACGCTATTTCCATTTATTCGAATAAGATACACTTTACGTATCTATAGGCCATTTTACTTGCATCTTATTTATCAAACACACACGCCTTTTTACGATAAATTCTCCTCTCCACTTTCGTTTTGCAGTTTAGCGTTCAATTCATTTTTGACAGTTCTGTGAAATACACCCTACTATTACTTTCATCAATTACGTCATCATGGCAACAAAATTCAAAATCTTTTATAACATGTATACTGCATTTTCTCTAACACCATTAATTAATGATTAATTAAAAGAAAATATCTATATTAGATTTCTAATTGTTGTTTGTTTTTAAATGTATATTGAATTTAATTACACATTCACTTTGTGTACATTACTTGCTATTAGAAGTTACTAGGATATAAGCTAGTTTAAAATTTATTGAAATTCTAGTAACATTGCTAAGCATCATATCGGTAATAGTAGTGCTCTACCTTTATCTTACCGACCGAGAAGGTTTGATGATAACTTACCGACCGAGAAGGTTTGATGATAACTTACCGGCCGAGAAGATTTGATGATAACTTACCGATTGAAAAGATTTGCTGGTAAATTACCGACCGAGAAGATTTGATGGTAACTTACCGAACGAGAAGATTTGATGGTAACTTACCATCAGAATTACCGACAGTACAAAAACCTTTACCGCAGAAAAAATGAATAATTACTTTTAATTGTTCATTTAAAATCCATAATTGTTCGCTTTATTGCTTTGCTTAGAAATAGGAAAAAACGTTTTTGTATTTTCAATGATTAATAACTAATTAAATAATTAATTAATAAAGTGTGCAATTATAGATTTTAAATATGTAATTAATGTGCAATTAAGAATACTTATTCATATTTTTCTGCTGTTCAGGTTTTATGCAAACTTTTCTGTAGTATGCGCCACTATAGTGGCCCACTCGAGTAGCTTACTAACTCACTGTTTGAATTAAACAATCGTCTTCATAGTCATTCATATTTAAGTTATATGTTACAGTATAAGTATGTACAATATATTTTTTAAGAAAAATGATAATTTAATCATTAAGCGATTCTTTGAATTGCTTTCGTTCTTTCTAGTGGCAGGTCGTGCTCTCGTCAAATGAACGAACGCGCCCATTCATGGCCACGGTTGTTCTCATTGGCGACAACCTGTTGTCCCATTGGCGTACCAATGAATTATAACAATATATTACCAAAAATAGTGTTACTTAAATATTTAATCTCATTTTTCCTGTCTTTCCAATGCTTATCCAATTATAATAAATCATATGTTTTCCTCGAATTGCACGTTTTATAATATAATATTGCTATAAGGATATCCGAAAAATTCGATAGTCGTTTGTACAAAAGTAGAAGTTGTTGCTATCGAGTTAAACAGATGAAAGAACTTTCTCTTGGTTATAACTTATCTCTCTATCTCTTTCTTTCTCGTTTGTCGACAATATGACAAAGATGTTGGAATACGATAAGGTTGAATCAAAATGGTGATTTCGAATTGGTGAAGGGATAAACAAAGATCGGCCTTGCTCGGTAAATCCGTAAAAAAGATCAACGACGAGGAAGAGGAGAATAGGATGGAAATGTTGAAAAGATTGTCAGTCGTATTAATCGACGCCACTGGTTGGATGCTGCGTTAAGGAAGCAGCAATGGCGGCATTCGGTTACCTGGCCTGATCCTTCCCACTCTTGGGTTTCTCTCCACGGTATCCCCTTCCATGGAGTCTTCCTCTCAACTTTCCTCTCTTTCTCTCGCAAGTGATGTTAGCTATCGTCACGTTTCTTGGGGCTAACCAACGAACCTGTTGCCCATTCTTTCTTCCCATTCGACGCCAGTGTCGTGTCGACCTTAACGGCCAACCTACGCCGGGTCCATCGCAGGTGCTAGAACTTAATTTTACTTCCTTTTTTTTTACTTCTTCTTCTTCATGTTCATCTTCACGTTCAACTTGGCCTTTTACCTTTTTCCAACAGATTTTCTCTGACGTTTAGTATCGCGCTAGTTATTAATTGGTTTAAAAGGATGTTGTTTGTGATATTCCTAATTGGGTTTTTGTTCAACGTGTGAAAGTTAAATATTCAGCTAATGCAAATCTGATGCATAGTGTATGGGAACGATTAAGTGTGATAGAAGAAGTTACTTTACAAGATTTTCTCGTCCTTTTTCTTTCGTCTTGTTTTTAATCGTGGAAATACGAAAGAAGCAAGGTGAGTCAGATACGTGCGCCAATTTTTGTCCTTTTATGTTTCTTACTTTCAAATTTAACCAACGCGACAGAATCCAGATTTTCTTCGTGTCGAAATTAAAAATGAATTTACAAGTAGAAGATTGAATGTACAATTTCGAATTGATAGGATTGAAGTGATCATATGTCTACAAGAATTGGGAAAAATTGTTGGCGAGTTATTCGTTTCGATTGGTCAATTAGAAGGAATTCAAAGTGCATAACGGTCACGAAGATAAAACGCTTGAATAAAGAGAAAAAGGACGAATGGTGATTCGATGAATTTCTTTGTGTCGTAGAAAGGAAAAAAAAAGAAAGAAACGGTTATTGGATTTTCATACTGTTAGATTAATTTAGCTGATATTCGCGTTTTCCAAGAAATACAAAGATTCCGATTACGCAGACGAAGCAAGAAAAAGGACACGAATGAGATAGGGAAGAGGGTAATAAGAAGACGAGAAGGAGAATGGAAGATGGTGTTGCTGCTGCCGTTGCCGTTGCTGTTCAAGCAAGGAGGAGAAGAAGAAGAAGCTAAGATCTTAGCAAAGGTGAGTGTCCGCTCTCTCCTTCGTGGAATGTTGCGTTACCTTTTCGTATTCTCCTTCGATTAAAAGCAACACTTAATTGACAATGATTTTTCAACGATTTCAATTAATTCATCCAACTCAATGTGCTTCCTTTTTCATTTTTACTTTTTTTTTCTAACATAATCCTATATAAACTTTGGTTATTTTAGAAAATATGATTGTAAGAAGGAATAACTTGGGTGGTAGGGAATCTAATGTGTCGTCAGGGGTTCTCAATATCCAAGAATAAAATCTGTAAGCGTTCGTTTTCTCTTACAACCGTTCGTTTTCTCGCACAGACAAGTCTCCGTCTCCATTTCACTTTGACGTCTGACCACGCTGCTGCATTCCTCTCTCCTTTACCACCATTCCCGTTTGCTCGTTCCCGCGCAACTATCGAAAGAAGAGAAACGGATAGAGAAAGAGAGAAAGAGAATCAGAAGGAAGAGTAACAACGTACGTGCACTTGCATTCGTGTATACATTGAAACACTATAATATCTTGAGATAATATTCCTGTAGGAGTCCATTTCAATTGAACCCTCTAAACCGGTTCATAAAACGGAAAAGATATCTCCTAATCTGAAATTAAAAAATATAATATATGCATTTTGATTAAATATCTTATAGAATATATTTTTCAAAATGATTTGAAGTATCATTTTGATATGAAAACATCCAGTCTGTAGAACATTCAATTTTCATTTACTTTCTCGTTGAAGATAAGATCATAGAAGTATATGAAGAAACATCTTCGGTTATTTTCATTGAATTTTAAAATCATAGTAAAATAAACTTGAGCTGATGTGTCTGAACTATGGTTTTTTATTAACACACTTTTATGTACTCGTATATTATCTGGTAGAAACGTAAAGGTACAAACAATTATTTCCTCTCTTCCTTCAACCATGCATCAACCTTACGTTATTGTCCCTCCTACAGATATTACGAAACGTTATGTAGAGCACGGTTTACCGTTCCAAGCGGATAAAACGAGAGGTAAATCTAAAAGACAAGCTGAAGGCAAAGCTTTTAGCAATGCTGCTAGGGCCCTATGCTAAAATCATAGTGAAAAAGACGAAGAAATTCAGTTTCTTCTATTTTATTTTTTATACTTTTTTTTAATTTTGTACAATTTCAACTTGTTGAAAAAACAAAAAAATCAATGTGAACATGTAAAAGGAAAATATGTTTATACGAGTATACATTTAAATAATTAAATGGGAATGACATTCACGGAATGCAACATCAGAGGATTGTAATTGTCTATTAATTAGTTCATAGTCAACAAAATATATCATAGTTTATTCGTCAGTTGTTCCTTTTTTGGTATACGTTGACAAAATTCGAGATATACTAGGTTGAAAAATATTAATCGTAGGTTGGATGACAGATTAGACGTGGCACGTAACACGAGTGATGCATCGGCAGCAATATTCGGTCATTTAGGGTGAAATACGTAAGTATTATATGTCTCCAATGTTAGGTTACTCGCTTTTCCCTTCTCCTCTCTACCCCTCTCACCTGCCACAAATCTTCAATATCACGATCTTCATTGATTTACGAGACTATATTGCGTTTGGACGGATAGATTATTCGAATGACATTATAAAACCTTGATATAGATATTTATATTAAAACAATCAGACTTGTAGATGAAAATAAAATGATCGGATCTTTCGCGATAAATTTGATATTTCATTCTTTGCGATAATAAAAAAAAACCATGCCAATACTTATAGATAACGTATAATCGTCGAATCATCATCATTATTATTATTATTATTATTATTAAAGTCAAAACGATAAGATATAAGATTAAAAAGTAGGATAAAGAAGAGGAGTGAGAAGAAGGGATCTATAAGTTGATGAGATTTTTGAATGGATCGATATGTTTCTAGGGGAAAAACATAGGTCGCAGAAGGGCGGAGGCGCTTTTCGTGCAAAGTGGTAGGGATCATGGTCTAGACTCTTGGGGAGGGGGTGCAGGGTGCAGTGGTGGCACGACGGTGCAGTAGTGCACTGGTGGGAACCAACCAGAAAAGCGGGGAGGAATGAGAATAGTCGTGCGTTTCATTTCGTACGGAACATCCCTTATCAGTTCCGCAGGAACTCTCCTCATGTTCGGATCTTTTTATATTTTAATCCTTTATCTCTTTCTTTCTAATTTCATTTTTCTATAAAATCTACAAATATTCTCATTATTTTAACATATATATGTATTATATTATCTGTCTCGTTTAAAAATAAGAAATGATTTTCTTCGGTGTAGTAAAATAATTGAAGATTAAAAACAATTTCAATCTTTTTCGAATGTTTCAAATTATTTTCATAGATAAAGAGAGAGAAGAAGGTTCTTTCATGTTTATTTACGTTCAACTCGGATCTAATATTATCGCAAGTTCGCGAATACACTCGGGTTTGTTCGTTCATTAGTTCAGGTTCTCGTTCTTCGATCGGTGAAAGTGAAAAATTCATCCACGCTTCTTACGTACACGTGCACGCTATATTCGCGATAATGCACCCAGAG